CTCTGCATTATTCGGTGCTCAAAATGGGAAACAGACACATTGCAGACGTGCCACAAAGTGTTTTCCTCCTTCATCTCATCCTTGGTCGACAGTAATTAACGAAAATTGCTCTAATGAAAAATGCTCTGGTAATTGTGGATTGCATTGACAGCAGGCAGGTATAAGGGTTAAGGGCTTAGGGTTATGGGGTATAAACGAGTATATATTCGGTTTCACACATGTCGAATTCGAATTTGCCAACGGGAAAGTGTTAGGTTCCACTCCACTGCCATTGTTCTGCGCGGTCCTATTGTTAATTAATAATTCACTAGATTTCGGAGCAATGGATTGGATAGATTGAGGTCATGGTTTGCAGAAGTCTGGGCACCAAAACAGCCAGTGGGACATCGAAATGGGATATCGAACTGGCAGCAGATATGAAAAGAACATCTCCATTGTTATATTCGGAATTTAATATCTTTGATTTCAAACGAAATGTTTTAAACAATGAAACAATGGGAAAAAATTTACGCTGATTTTACAGGTTATTAATATTGACACCAGGGCGTTTAAAGAATTTTTGTTGGTCTCCTAGCTTTTCCAATATTTATTATGTGTTGGTTTTAATAATGCATACAAGAAAATTTTTTAATCTTTTATTGGTTATTTACAAACTAAAATGTTCATGCTTATATTTTAAAACATTTTGATCTACTAAAGTTTAAGTCATACCTTAAATATTCTAAAAATATTCCACCAAAAATTGTTACCCAATTGCACCGTCTCTCTGTCCCTCATAACTTTTTACCTTTCACATTCTCGTAACTTACTCCTTCTCCCCGCAGTTCTTAACTATTCATAACTTTGTGAATTCAATTTTAGCAGCCAGTCCCCCCACAACCCGATCCAATCAAGGAATTCCCCCGGCTAAAATTGCGATCCCAGGAGAGGTAAACACTTTAAGGTGTCATATGTAGCTAATGTGGTGGCAAAACGAAAACGAAAATGAAACGGGAGAACCCACCTGAACGGAGCTGACCACAGCAGGATATTGCAGGTGTTGGCAGGACATAAATTCAAATTTGTAACACAACTTGTTCCCAACTGTGAAACTGGGGAAACTGGGAACTGGAAAATGCGAAGGGAAAAAATTGAAATTAAAAATTTCTGCTGTTCGAGAGTATGACAATACAAAGGCACCCACATCAAGCATTTGTCCTGTCGGCATTTGCCTTTCACTCCATCTCCATTTGTGTGTATGCGAATGTCCTTCGTGTGCGACATTGTTGTATGCATATTCGTGTGGCACTTGCTCGTTTATTTGCTCGCATTACAATTACCAAAGGACCAAAAGCACCTCGCTGCCCGTGCACGTACGCAATTTGTTTGCACACCTCCACCTCCACCTCCAGCTCCACATCCACCTCCACCTGCACAAGGGAACAAGGACTAGTGTTAGTTTGCCCAGCAACACAAACAAATTAATTTTAGCCAGACACTCGAAATGTTTAGAACATTGGGCAATGTTTGTAATTGAATATCGTGCGGGGACCGAATCGAACCAAACCAAAATTTCACTGCCGAACACCAGTGAGTCAAATTATGCAAAACTAATTATGATTATACGAGCAGCATCGCATTGTCGATGGGTTTCGCTAACTAGAATCGAGGCCAGGATGTCACAATAATGTGTCAAATGACGCGTGGCCATGGCAATTCACTGGTGAATTCCATTACAAAGCTTAAAATGTGCATCGAAAACGCACTACACAAAATGTCACATTATTAGCGCCAACTAATTGGTGTTGGGCCCAAATTATTGACGACATTGAGCGATGAGGGCTGCAGTTTTCCAAAAAGAAAACAATCTCTGATGTTATTACTAAAATTAGAAGCTTACATTATGTACAATAAATTTATTTCTAGCATAATAACAAGTATCTTAATTCATGTTTTTTTTTATTTATTTACAAGCATTAAAATTGAACTCATTAAATTTTATAAGATAGCCAGGCATATTATTACATATATTTCAAGTTGGAAGTTAAGTAGTTCAAACATATCTAAACAAAAATAATTTTTTAAATCATTTATATTTAACAGACAAAAATTTAAGTGTATGCTGAATTTGTAATTAGATATTCAAACATTTGTTTATTACAATTTGTAAGTTCGCCATATCACATGACATATATTTTAAGCAAATGGCTGATTAATTAAAAAAGAAACTAAACAGAGTCAATTTAATTGACAAATAACTGATACCATTTCTTGTAAAATAACATGTAACAAATTTATAACAAGATATTCAAACATTTGTTTATTAAACTTAGCCACATCACATGACATATAATTCAAGTAAATGGTTGAGTAATTAAAACCAATGTACACATAGTAAACAAAAAGAATCAACACATTAAAATGTACTCAAATAAAAAACTGTTTTTGCTTTGTTTATTATATTTTATTTTTTGCCAGCGGAAGTTTTGAAGCGGCGCCTGTTTACGGGATATTAAAAGGATACGTACTCATGCATATAAAGTGCCGACGGTCACATATGGAGGCTGTCCCCGCTTTGGGTTTCCGCTCATTTGCCAGAGTTTTTTCTACACTTTTTAGTGGGCTAAAGTTATGCAGACAAAAAAATTTGTTTCGTGCTCATTTTTATTTTTTAAGTTTCTACCGCCAACTTCTTTTGTGAGCTGTCAGAACGTTAAGTGTTGAACGCGCCTTTGTGAGCCACAGAGAGAATTTTAATTAAAACTCCTAATGAATTTTTAACAAGAACTCCGGCGCAACTTAAAGAGCAGAAGCCAAAAAAGCCGCAGAAAATCCCTGGAGTCGGCGAATTTCCTAGGGTTTCTTTGCTCTATCTACTCACTTCATTCCCTTTTTTATTGTGGCTGAAATTATGACCACAAGAGCAGCGCCAAAAAGTCATCACGTGACCACACAATTGTGTGGTCAACACGTTGACCCCTTGATGCCTTTTTTTGCCCCCATTTTATCCCTTCGAGATTCGCTGCTAATGACATTTCAACTATTTTAATCTCCTCCCCGCTCACTCGGCATTAATTAAATTGCAATTTCTTTTGGCTGCGGTTGCTGCTTTTGCCGCCTTATGTGTGCCAGTATTTGCACATCCTGCGGCCAGTTAGTAAGGAAAATCTATGAAGATAAGCCCCGAACAACTTGCGATTAAATTGACAGCACAATTAGCTAAGGACCCTCCGGGTAGACCATAAATACTTCGAACATCCGGCAAACAAACAACAGCAAAAGATTGCATAAATCTCCAGTTGGAAGGGCCCAAAAAACAGGATAACGAAGCTCCAAGGATGCCGCCAGTCTGCATTAACCCGATGGCTGCTCTTGGCATTATTTAAAATCACAGAGCCTTCAAATTGCATTTTAATAGAATTTATTGCGCCAAACCGATTTCGCCAAACGAGAAAAATAACCAGAGCGGATGCGGAAAAAAATTACAAAAAAAGAATAGAAAAAAATGGGAAGAATAATTTCTTGCTACTGCAACACTTGACTTTCCATGTTGTTTGAAGCAATAAAATGCTATTTTCGAGCAGTCGCATTGATACTGGGGAAAATGGAGAAAAATGTAGCAGAGGGCGAAAAAGGATACGATAACAATGGCAGCTTTTCCCAGCTGAGCTCCTGCTTGGATAAAAAAAAAAAAAACCCGAGCTCCGTTCAGTCGAGCGCATCAATTCCGCCATTTCGCAATTCAAAATGCGAAATCCGTTGCCAGGACGAGATGCACAAATGCAACACAAATTATTACTTGGCTTCGTTCCAAAATGTTTTAAATTACAATTTGCAAAATATATTTATACGTCTTGAACAGCAGGCTTGCTGCTGCACCCGCGCCAGTAGGGAAAATAGTGCAAATGGGGAAAAGCGGGTAACGGAAAACGGAAAACGGGAAAAACTGCAGCCGCAGGAAGCCATTTAGTTCGGCTTTTTAACCCCCAAGGCGAGGCCATAATTCTTTCATAAAAATCAACAACCAAATGGCAACTGTTGTCTGTCTGTCGCCCAGAAGATAAACTTTGCTTGCCACTTTTGTGAATAATTTATCTGCCATGGTCACCACTGCGTATGCGTGATAATCGTAATTTCTGTAAAAGGTTTCAAGAAATGACAAAAGAAAAGCAGTTAACTGGTAAATTAATGGTTGAAATTTTCACACTTATAGAAAATTGGCTGCCCCTAAGAGTTTCGGTTATTTACGCCTTAAACCAGAAATTAAAACCTTTTTTTAATATTAATGAATTTTTTTTTGACAAAAATGACATCATGAAAAATAAATATGCAGCTTAAATAAATGACTTACTTGTTTTTTGTACCGAGCGCGCCCTGAAATTTTTTTTCAAAATTACAATTATGACTAATACATGACAGTGAATAAATGGGTTTAAAAAATCATTCTCTCAACTTGTATTACAAAATAAAAGCTGTGAATGAACAAAAGCTTAACCTGCATAATCTGTTCAAAAGCATATACTGATAAAAAAAACTTTAATAGTAAAAACAAATATCAAAATATTGAATATTAAATCATAATTTTATATACAATTTATATTAAATTGCATGATATAGTATTAAAATATTTGAATTACTTTTGACAGTTTTAGACTTAAAATAAATTATATTTGATTTAAGTGCATTTTATTTAGTTTAAATATCGCTTACATTTAAATTATATTTCCATTTCCATATAATTAAATGCAAAATGTTCAACAAATGTAATATTTTCATATTTAAAATAACTAAAATCAGCAATGAATGAACATCAAAGCGAAACGTATTAAAATAAGTAAAATATACTTGCATTTACTAAGTCTTTTTACCAGTGTAACCAAAAAAAAAAAACATAGATGAAAGTTAAACTGATAATGAGGCCATTAAATAAAAAAAACTAAAAAAGTAAAAGTTCCAAAAAGGCACGCTCGATATACACTGAAATTGTATATACAAAATGAGTTATATTATTTTATAGACAGTCTGTTATCTATACCGTTTGGAAGAACACGTTTAGCTCAAGAATGCTGCTGAAAGGCTTGCTCCTAGTTCTGTCATCTTTGCAAATACATTCGGAACCCATATTGAATGATCTACCCATAAGCATAGGAAAAGTTCCCTGGCAGGCCTCGGTTCAAGTAAATGGCATCCATCGCTGCGGTGGAGTTGTTTACAGTGAGGACATAATCCTGACCATAGCTCAGTGTGTGAGAAAAGTCGGGGTGAAGATGATATCAGTGCGAGCTGGCTCTGCCCTAAGAATCCTTGGTGGTCAAATCAGAAAGGTTAAGAAAGTCAGGATGCAACTATTGGGCTTGCGACCTAGTGATGTGGCCATTCTGCAGCTGAGCTCACCTTTGGACTTAGGTGCCAACGTTAAAGCCATTGAATTATCCAACGAACTGCCATCGCCTGGCACTAAAGCCACGGTTTCCGGTTGGGGACAACTCAATGTCTTAATTCCCATGGAATCGGAAATACTATTGAGGGTCAACCTCATAGTCCAGGAACCAATGAAGTGCGCGGCCATCAGCACTTTGACCGGGAGACTTATTAATATAGACGAGTTTTGTGCTGCTCCCTGGGGAGTTATACCACTCGCCTGTCAAGGATTCGTCGGTGGTCCTTTGGTTTCCGACCAAAAACTAATTGGCATTGTGTCCTGGAGAAACACCTGTGGCTACCTTAATAAACCTAGTGTATTTGCTAATATTCCAGTACTTAAATTATGGATCCAAACCACTGTTCAGCTTATGAAGGGTTTTCAAATAGGATAACAATGTATACTATTTTTTTGAGCAGATTATTTTAAGACCTCTTCTTCTCCTAAAATATAATAATATCCAAGCGCAAAATAAATCCCCAATACAATTGGCCCTCATCCAAAAAAAACTAGACAAATATTTATATTTGCAAATTGTTTTCGTTTACCCATAAAATTTGTGCACGTGCGCACACATATTTTTTGTGCCTGCTTGTATTGCGAAATTGAAATTTAATTCATTTGCAATTTATTCTATGGTCTGGGGAGTGCGGCACGGATGAATATTATTAATACGACCCATAAGCCCAATAAATGCCCATGATTCCTCGCGTTGTACTCGCCGTTGTTGTCATTTCTGTGTTTCTGTGTTTCTGCTGTCGCTGGCTGGCTCTGCATTTTTTATGGTTATGAGCCTTATTGTAATGACCATTAAAATTGGCATTGTTATGACCGTTGTCAGCCATGAGCCATGAGCCATGAACCATGAGGGGGTTTGACCCACAGAGAATGACAGTGCAAATAAAGCCAGGGATGAAGTCGCGATCTGAAGAGGATTTAGTGTGGTTCTGTGGAAGAATACCTAAGCTCTGTAAACACGATCTTGTTCTAAAACTTGATGTATCAGAGCAGTTAAAAATTATTGAAACTATGTTGATTGCTTTATATTTGCTGAAATAATAAACAAATATTACAAGTAAAATATCAATGTAAACCAAAGCTATCTATAAACGATCTGGCTTTAAAATATTTATTGGAAAGAAGTACCAAATCATAAAAGCTACTTTGTGTTATACTATGTTTTGAAATAATAATTTTTTAAGAACTAAATAAAGTATAGCTTTTTGACTTTATTTACAATTTTCATTAATTGTCAAGTTTATATACATATTCATATTATTCAAAACTCTATAAAAACGGAAGTGTCTTAAGATCATTTTAATTTTTACATAAAAAAATAAAATTATATGAAATTTTAAATAATACAAAATAATATAATAAATATGATATTTGGATCGGATTGAAATCGATAATGCAACCCTGTGCAAATCAGCGGGAGAAGCAGCATCTGCATTTTCAGCTTAATAATTACAATGCACACACGCACAAGCCCACACACACACACACACACACACACTGAGGCACACACACACTTAAGCACAGACACATACGCACACGGGCAAACAATTGCCGTTGCATCTGCGAGCAATTTGAACATGGAAAACTCGCTGGCGAGCTGAAAAACTGAAGGGAAAAACCTGCTGGAAAACTGGCAGACATTTGCACGTCGTCAGCGTCGACACATTAAAATAAATGAGACTTTTGCCTTAAAGCAAGCTGCTGTTGTTGTTGCAGGTGTTGCTTTTGCTGTTGTTGTTGCAGCTGCAATTATTATTGCCGCTGTTGTTGCAGAAGCATTTCCACGTTTTTCCCAACGCCTTGAAAATTACACGCAAATTACAATGCATAACGAAGAAAGCTTTCACAGAGAAAGAGCGAGAAGCGAGCGGAAAATGGAGAGGAACTTCCTTTACCCTTCGACTTTCTGATTTCCCACAGCCTCCCCATTGCCACGCCCCATGACCCCATTTATCCTTAGTAAAATAAATGAAAAAAATCACAAAAAAAATAAGTTGCCTCCTGCTTAATTACATTGTAAAACTCATTGGCAGTCGGTGGTGGGATTCATCGCCAGACTTTGCGATCTGAAGTTTGGGCAACCCAGGCAAATTCCATACCTTTTGTTGCCCCATTTTCTTTTGTGGTAATTAAATTGAACTTTTGTCTGCGGCTTTTTGACAGTTGAATGCATTTAACCATTCGACAAGGTGTAAAATGGCACAAAGAGTTTTGTGTGACTGCTGCGGTAACTGTGTAAAACTCGATGGGGATAAAGATGAGACTCTATTCCCTTTTAAGTTGAAATTGTAATACGGAAAATCTAGAAACTTCCGTTTAAGCTTAAAAGGGATTTTTGTAAAAGTTAACTTTCATTCTTTGCTACTTAAACTTTATTATTTTCAATGTTTGTTTAAGACATCAATCTCTTCACTAATCGATTTTCTTCTGCTTTTAATATTAAATTAAATTTTGGTTTTGGGGGACTTTCAATTTATTTTTTTTAACTGCATAAAACTCAATGCTAGTTGAGATAGTTTAGCATATTTAGAAAAACCCAAGAACTTACAATTACTAAATTTAAAACACAAATCTGTTAATTATTAAGCTAATTACTCTTTCATTTATTTATTTTATTTTATTTTATTTTATTTTATTTTATTTCTTATTATGAAAACACATTTAATAATTTCCTATTTTAAGTCCTTTAAAGTCAAAATCATCAATTGAATTTTTATTTTTTGAATCCGTTTTAAATAATTAAATTGCAGTCAAACGTGCTACCTCACGATTAAAATAATTTTTTTTTGGATCGGACCCAGGGAACATCCGAAAAGGTCCTGTTTTACAGGCACCTCGGGGATGGCACGGTTTCAGGACTGCAATATATGGAAACATCACGTACATCAGGACACCACAGGGTCCCCTTTTCCCCAACCCCCCTTTCCTGTCATTTGCTTACTGAAATTAAAAAAAAAAAACCGAAAATTCGCCATAAAAATTCATAGTCTACTTTTTGGGGTCATCCTTATGATCACTTCTTCTTTTCCTTGCTGGTTTTTTGTGTGTATGTGTGTGTGTATGTGTGTTTAAATTTTACCTGATTTTTTTCTGCTGTTGTTTTTAGCGTTTCCCCTGCTTTTGTTCACTTGCTTCTGTTGTAGCCAGTTGAAATTTCTGTGGCATGATGCCAACCAACTTTGACGCGTTGCCAGTAACACGTATGCGTGTGTCTATGGATATTTGCGATGGTGTGCTTGTCACTTGTTGACGGTGTGAAACTGAAGCAACAGCACAAGTCGCCCGCCGTTCGGTTTTCGCCCCCAAAAGTGGCTTATTGGGTTAACGGTTACGGTTAAGGTGGCTGAAAGTTATAGCTTCTGCTGGAAAAGCCACACAAATGGAAAATCCGAACACCTACTATGTTATTTGTCGAATCAGTGTGCAAAACAATCAGGACTTAATTTGATTTTGCAAAGATCTTGGGAGGGAAATTAACGGAAATATTTTATTATAACATAGAATCCTTTAAAAGAAAATATGCTTTACCAAATTAAACAAAGCCCGATAAATGCTAAGTGAATAATTTGTAAAATCTTTTTAAAAATAGTATTTATGTCTTTTTAAATTAATTTGTATAGACAAGTGTCATAAATAGCCTACAATATTTTAATTACACAAATTGCAATAAATCTAACCATATAATACCTCGCACTCTAAAAGTGCGAGTCTTATTACATTTTACATGTCTGTCGTTAAAAACCAAATGTAATTTTTTTACAAAGTACTAAGCGAGAAGCAATGAATTTAGAGAATGGAAATTGAATCATAAATATTTTTATCTTCATCAATTCATCACAATCTTCTTTCCCCCGCGCACAATGATGCCGAAAACTCCGCGGGTAAAAAATTTCATTTTAATTTCCATGCCCAAGTGACAAACAGTCAATCAAAAAGCAGGCTAACAGGAAGGAGAGATGAGGTCAGAGGAGAAAGCTTGCTGTTACCATAATTTCACCTTGACACCTTTGTGACCCGTCGCCACCCGCTGCTCATCCCACTCCCTCGCGAATATTTATGGCAGAAATTTAAAATTAATGATGTGTGACGTGGAATTGTCGCCAAAAAATGAAAAGGCAGGATGAAAAGCGCTACGATAAGCGGAAAAACTCTAGAAAAATATGGCAGCAGACTGCCGCGTTTCATTTTCATTTCATTTTACTTCATTTTGTGCAATCATTTCCCCAACGATTTCCCATCAAAATTTAATGAAAAAAAATTATGAAAAAATAAAATTAAATGGAGAATGAAAATAAAGAAAAATGTCCCAGAAATCAAACGCTCCAATTACTACAGCTCAACGATGCCAAGTCCATTGGCTGTGAGCTGTGGAATCGGGATTTGGCCAAATGCCGCAGTTGTCTCACGACCTTTTGCCAAAAACCCATTAAGGTTTACCATAATTCCCGGAATTATTTGGCCTGCAGTGTCAAGAGGTCACTGTCCGAAAACTCCACAAGGTCATTGCCAGCAATTGGCGAAACATGTGCTCCCAAGTGCAAAAACTCTTCAAAAAACACCTTAAGGAAGTTTGTTAAGTCCGAATCTTCGAATTTTCGACCCAAGGCAATAAAGCTTTCTGTACTAAAAGAAAATAATAAATACAGAAAACTTCACGGCGCCAATCCACTTAAAATGGATAAAGAACTATCTCTTTACGCACAAGAGTGGGCCAATGTGAGTTTAACTAACAGATTTTTCCTATAATAGGAAATACAATTCTGTTGGCCTTAATTCCTTGGTTTTGAAAAACTTAAAAAGAACATTTTACTGACCCAAATCCAATTTATTTTCTATTCCAGCACCTGGCTTGTAGAAATCTTCTGGAAACTCGACCTTTACCCCTTTATGGCGAGAACATAATGTCTGTGCGCAGACCACTTTTCAGTGTGGAACGAATAATAAAACTCTGGTACCAGGAGAAGTACAATTACGATTATTTGAAGCCAGGTTTTAATCTATACACTGGACATTTTACTCAGATGGTTTGGGGTGAAACAAAGTACCTGGGAGTTGGCGTAGCTACGAAGTAAGTTAAGCTCTCAACTTACACTTTATCTTGCAATTTATAAAATGTTCCCTTAGTAATTTTTGCATTTGGATTGTGTGCAATTATAATCCACCTGGAAATATAGGCGGACATTTCCGCGAGAACGTCTTGCCAAGAAAACTTATTCTTATCGAATCGGATTCGGAGGCAGAATCCCAGGAAATTATAAAGAGCAAAAAGCGTGTAAAAATTTAAAAAAGCTATTAACACATTTTGTTATTGTTTAAATATTATGTAAATAAAATATCCAGGAATCAAAAATATTTAAATATATTATTTATTTTATTTAAATTTGTAAAGATCTAAATAAAAATTATTACTCTTCAGATTTGGATAAATATATCAAGTCATCACTGTTTAGGAGGCACATTATCCTTGAATAAACCCACAACATTGCCGGGCGGATTGTAATTGCAGACCACCCACGTTCTGTCCGCTCTTAAAATATATACAACAAATATATATATATAAAAAAATAAGTTATCGTATTTATAGACTAAAATTTACCTTCGCGCCACACCCGAACCCATTTCCTTTGTGGACTTCCAGATTAGCTGTGTAAAATGTCCTGCAGTGGGTACAAATTGAGCCTTGTTGAAGTCGTAGCTATTGATTTCCCGATACCACATGTCCACAGGTAAGTCCCCGGTCACATCCATTCCACCCGAAAGGAAGATGTTTTCGCCATACTTGGGATTGGATCGGTGTGCCATTATGTTATCATCACGAAGGTGCTGGGAATTATTGAAAATATTATTACAGATCGGTATTAAATGGTATAATGTTTGCCGTCCTACATTAGCCCACTCTTGAGCCATTCTAGTGAGCTCAGCATTAATGGTTAAGGCGGGACAACCATGCATTGCCCGGTATTTATTGGTGGTATTGAAGACCTCCTTCAGGAACAGGTCATTGTTGCCCTTGGTATCCTGACCCCTGGGACCTACAGCGCGCTCGTGGGTTTTCGGTATGGGCGCTGCTGATCTCTTGGCCATTGTTCTTGCGGGTTGGGGAGCGCCCAGGTCCAGTTAACGAAACCTACTTATATCTAATGACAATTCAGGTAGGCTTACTTGATCAAAAGCTAATTTAAATTTTATTCTAATTTAAATATCTATAAAAACAAAAAAAAAAGATTTTCATTTATGTTATTAATATTTTTATAATTATATAAACAGGTAAGTTATTAATTTCCCAAGCTCCCACTTATTTTTCACTAAACACATTTTTTTGGGAAAGTGTCTGCTTATGGCTAAGAACCCTTTCATGTCCCCCAAATAATCTGGCCTAAACATGGGGATTAACATTGTGATTGATACCGCAAACACAGGATGCGGGTGAAGTGCCATCCATAGACACAGATTAGACAGACTGTCAAAGGGGGTCTCTCCTGTCCCCTGTACTCTGCCTCACACGCACATCCTGCAGGATCTGATGAATGGATTAACCAACGTGACGTATGAGTGATGTATGAACGCCGGGCACCCGGTTATTAATGAGCCATCGTTTCTTTCACATATCCAGCCATATGCTGCCACTTCCGGAGGTATAGGCAAATCAGGCAAATCCGAGTGGCATTAATTGCCGATTGAGTCGAGCTGAATAATGGGAGTTGGGCTGACATGGAGGCCCGCTTATCAAACGCCCGCAGTTTCGCCTATCGATGTGCAAATTTCGATGTCGAAACACTCGGAACATTAAATTATTTAAGCGTAAGTGAGTGTGAGTGTGAGTGTGAGTGTGGTGTGTTTGCAGGGGGGAGTTGGACAAGTGTGAATCCTTAATGAGTTGTGCAAATGCAAATCAATGGCCCGGCTGATGTCGCTGCTCCCGGCAGAGATTAAGCCAGCATTCCGATGTACAGATATACGGCTACAGCCGCAGGACAAGCCCGAATCGTTGGAAATATCCTGTTTTGCTGGGAGGTAAATAAAAGGATTGCTTTTGATATACTTGTATACCAGTCACTAAATGATATCCCTGCTCAATGATTTATTGGAATTTAAATATTTCAAAGTATGCTGATACTCGTAATAACAAAGTTGAGTTGTAAATTTAAATAAGCTCTGAAATGATAAAGAGATTATCTCACTATTAAATCACTAGCTCTTTAAAAATAATTATTAAGGCACCTAAAATTATGTAATATGCAATATACAAGTTTGGAATTCATTACAAAGATACCGTAACAATTTTTATTGAATATTAATATTAACATATATACATTTTTTGAAAACCCTATTGATTTCTAAAGAGCCTCCCTTTATGTGATGTAGTTTAGTGAATTAAGGAAAAATTATATTTTAGAAAAAAAAAAATTAGTCATACATTGCATATATTAATAATATCAAGCTCCTAGGAAACATTCTGAAAAATTAAAAAAAAAAAATGTAAGCATCTGAGCTGAATTTCAGGTTTCCATGGCCACAGACTCAAATTTGATTCACATTCGGATCATTCACACAATACGCAATTCACAATTGCGGTGGAGATCAGATGAGTGTGTGGTTGGGTGGTTGGGTAGATGGGTGGCTCGGTTGTTCGGCAGCTGAATTGTTGGTGGTGTAAACTGGCCGCAGTCAAAGCGTAAAACGCAAAGCGCACACGTTACTTTGCTGTCGATTTAATTAATTTCGCAAATTTGGTTTCGTTTATTTATGCATTGCTCGGCGTACAGTCCGCGCCATGCGCAAAATAAATACACGGACACTCGGATTTCCAGCATATGCGGGCACTATATATACTCCACTCATGAAGGTTTTGGTATCTGGACAAACAGACTCGCATTTCCATCTCCCAATTCAAGGCAATGACAACCACACGGCATCTGCTGCCGGATGCGCTTGATTTCACATGCGAATCCTGCATTTAATTCCGATTCCCATTGATAGGAATTGGTCATGTTTTGGCATAAAGGAAGTATCATAAAAATATTATGGTAAAAAAAAATCAGTTTTTACACGGCTTAAAGGAGGCAACAAAAAACGGAAAAGAGGCTTAATAAATTCTCTATACATTTAAAGCAAATAAATTACTTTATTTGCTGCCGATGATTGCAATATTTTCATTTCACAATATTTTATGTACAAATCATGTGAATATTGTAATAATCATTTAAGTGCAAATTGTTTAACGTTCTGAAAACATAAAAAGGAAGTAATTATAAATGTTGTACAACATTTTCAAAATGTTAAAGCAGATTATAATAATGTTAATTCAATATTAATGAGATCTGTGGGAGAAGAAAACTTAAAATTTTAAGGCCCGTTTTATATGTTTAAAGAATACAAATTAAATCCTTTTAGTAAAATTATTATTTTCTGTTATTTAGTATCACTTTCATTTTAAATCCTCCAACAAGGTGGCAAAGATTAATGAATAGCTTTTCCGTTTTTCCACTTTCCGACCACTTGGAATTCAATTAGTTTGATGCCAATTCTGTTGCCTTTGACCCTCGGTAATGTCAATTAACGATAAATTGCAACGGCAGAAATAAGTCACTGGAAAAATCGAACAAACAAAGCTCATTCGCCGGTCGAGAGCTCCTTGATTCCTTGAATCCTTGATCCGCGCGAAGGCCAGCCAAATGGAAATTTTTCACCTAAGCGACATAAAATTTGCTACCAAATCGGTTTATGGCAAAGCGAAAAGTTTTTCCCAATTTTTCCACCGTTTTCCCTTTATTTTATTTTTTTTTTTTTGGCTTGCTGGGATTTGCCGTCGAGCGACTTAAAACTACAACAACGAAAAATTTGGGTTCGCTTTTTTGCGAATCACATTTCCATGGGCGACTTTTTGGTGTAGAAATTTTTGGAAATTGCATTTGCATGTGTGCGCGAGGAAAAAGTCTGGCTGGCAGTCATATTTTGCGCCTTTCGGCCATAAAAGCTAAAATGTTTGCGGCTCAAACGAAAGGCAGCGAGAAGCGCAGGACGCGAAAGTGGATTACGAACGTTGGCCGCCATCGTTTCACTCATCCAGGACTCCTCTTTTGAGCTACTACCTCCTCACATTCAAAGTTACTACTACACAGAAACAAAAGAAAACAAATACAAACAATTTTATTTGTATCTTAAATACTTTTTATTTTATTTGCTTTTTTCATTCCCTTAATATCAGCTTTACTTTTCGCTTAATTCTTTGCAAATCGCGTTCTTAGAACTATTATAACTATTATATTATTATTTATAATTTAAGAAAATATTAAAATTTTAAACACATGTATTTTATTTTATTTCATAAGCTTTGGTAGGATTATTTCCAAAATGTTTTGGAAATAACATTTTAAGATTTTATCACTTCAAATCCAATCAGCATACTAGTTTCTAGAGCTTTTTTTGCATCCATAATATTTTTGTTTTAAAACAGTGGCCAATCTCTGTAGAATTTTTCCCTGTGTAATAAACCCCAATTGTGCCTCTTCTGATCCCCTGCAATCTGCTGTCATTCTGTCTCCATCCAATTGGCGTTGCACAGAACAGGTGAATTCCGGGCCAAAAGCACCTGGCTGCCGATTTCTGGGCTCCTGTTCGAAATGCCACCTCCTGCGAGGGGAGGGGTCAGAGGTCAGGAGTCAGGGGGGTTGCTGGGACCATTCAAAAGGGGTACGTCTGAGTGCCCCTCTTTGTCTATTCAATTGAGCGGGTTACACTGCCATGGGGATCGCCTTTCCTCCGGCTAAATGGCTGGGCACCGCTTTTTTATTGGCTCTCAGTTCTGATGCAATAAAGTTGGCTAAAAGTTCTCGCGTCAATCGGTGGTGGGGATTTTTACCGCCGGCAGCCAAAGTGGATGTGAAAAGTGCGTGTATGTGAAGGAAACCAGCAGAATGGCATTAGATTTAAAAACTATAAGTTGGGGATAAGTTTAAGTAGCTGGAAACTCTAAGCTGGACAAAGTGAAAAACGATACTTGGATAATAGATTTTAAGACTTAAGCATACGTAGGCATATCTTTACTTTAAAATATGCTTTTGTGTCAATTTTATATAGATAATATATTTTAAGATTTAAGCAAGCGTTAGCACATGGAATACAAATTCAATATATAAATAAACCATTCCATATGCAACCAATCTAGAACGGATTATTTATGTTTCATTTGTATTCCATTTCCGCAGTAAAAATATAACTATAAAAAATGTTTAAGCAAACACCAGGCTTAAAGTTTAAATGGTATTTTAATTACCTTAAATATCATTTCTTTTTTTTGTTGCAAATATCAATAAAATAAAATAATTTAATTTAATGAAATTCAAGCCAAGCTATGTAAATTTACCAATATTATTTCAAACAACTTAATTGCGCAACAAGAAAATCAAACTTCTTCCACACTTGAGCCAGAAAATATTAACATTCCCTGCCAATGACGGCTGGCCAAAAATTGCCCTACACTTTTTTACTTTCAAACTTTCAACCCATTTGAAAGGCTTTCATTGGCAAAGGCAGCCTGCCAGTTTTTATTATACTCATCAAATGGGTATAATTCAATTTTTCCAATCGTGGCAATCGCAGCACGATTCGCTGTTCGCTGTACGTTAAATAAATGGCGAAGGCCATAAGCACCAGGGGACACGCCCCTGCCGCCCCCAAAATCGCAGCAATTTCCCCAATTTCCATGGGTTGCCAACTCCCCAAAACGAGTGAAACAATCGTCCATTTTCAAGTTGGGCCATAAATCATTGTGGCATTGCATTTGGTTGCATTGAAAGTTTCCATTTTCCCTTTTTCCTTTTGGCTTTGGCCGTTTTTCATTTAGTTTTGTTCGACTGGCTGGATACAGTAAAAGGGGTTTTTGAGTTGACAAAGCCACATTAATCATACGCACATGTATGCAATCCAAAATGTTTCTTTAAAAACCCAAGAAAATTGCTGACGTTTATTAAAACAATAAACAAATCATGCTGTTGCATATGGCCAAAAGCAAAATATAAGACAGAGGAAAACGGAAAATGCAGCTAGGGACACATAAGCATGTGGCTCACGTACAGTGCATAAATATTTTAATTCTACCAAAATTTGCTGATAGTTTTATGGACTTGCCAACGAGACATGTCCCAAGCTTAAGAATCTGACCGAAAAACTGCATTCCTATTTTTATTTATTTGCCTCAGCTGTTGAGTGGCAAATAATTTATGTGCCTGCCTTGCATTTCAATTTATTTCACAATTTCCGCTCGGAATAACAGAACTTTTGCCCAAGAATATAAGTTCAAAGTTTAGTGAAAGCAGATGAAAAGTTAAAATTATGATGTGAGCAAAAGGTCTTAAGTGAATAAGTGAAATCAAATGCGTTTTGTTCAACTTGAGATCAGATCAAAGCTGATTTAGTTTGTAATTGGGTAAAGCGAAATTCATTGAGATTTCTAAAATCTCACATGCAAAGAGATGCAGTTGAGTTGTTTATTGTATGCCTGACAGCAAAACATGACGAGTCTTTTGTGCAATTCCCCACTCGACAAGCTGACTTCCGCCAAACTAATTTGTCAAAAAATAAAGTTCACAAAGAAACTGTCAAAGAAAATGCAGCAAACTTGGCGAAGCATAAAATTTAAACAAACATATGTAAATATTTGTTTACCCCAGCAAATGGTTGTATTTCCCTTTAGAGAGCCAAAGAAGAGTCCTGCACCTTGTTTTCTCGAGTTTTCCCCCCCGTTTTGCAACTTTCGCTGGGCAAAAAAAGAGAAAAGGATCCGGCAAAATTTCGATTACCCACTTCAACCCACTTACTCGTACCCAGTTTCCTCCGGTCTCCAGTTTCCTGCGCTGTTTACTGATTCTCCTCGTTGCACTTGCCAAAGTGCGCTCCATTGGGATGCAATTAAATACTTCGCATGAGCGGACAAATAACAGTAGCTACGAACTATGAACCTCCTTGCGAAGGTAACGTACAAACGTAAAAAATGCTGAAACGAAACGAAAACAATATTTGTATTGGTTCGCTTTGTGAGTTCCTCGGTTCTGTTTGTCATTTCGGGATTCTCCCATTGCTCATTGCTTTAGTTTGCCAGCATTTAATTAAAAAACCAAAGCTTATACCAACCATATATTTCAAACCATCAAATTCTATACATTTCCCTTTGTCCTTTAATACTGTTGGTTTTCTTTGTTTTTTTGTTGCAATTTAAATGTAATAGCATGGGTTTAACCTATCGTAACAATCGATACAATAAGATATGATGTTCCTAATTGCAAGAATTATTTCCCAGGAGTTGGAAAATAAGAAACAATTTTCGGCGTGTTCTTTTGCGTTTTAGAGTTTCGACAAAAAAAAATAGTTTTTTCGTTGAAATATAATAGGACATATAAATTACAGGACCGCGAAACAAAAACAGAAATTTCGTGTATTTTTTAAAAATTTTTTTTTTGTAAAAAAAAAATATTTCTTTTTTGTAACAACATTGACCAATTCTCATTCATACCCAATTGAGCTGCTAAATGAACAATTACTGCACCGTTTGTTGCATTTCCACTCAAATATTTATTTTAAATCTGGTATGCTCACTGCTTGGGATATTTTGCATCTGAAAGGTTGTCTGGCTGTCCTTTCGGTATGTAAGGATAGCAGCTGCTGATTCGCTGCGTTGACGTATTTTAATTTATAATGCAATCGCTAGAACCGGCTCCTTTTGGGATTCGAGACATCCCCTTAGGGGCGAAGCCTTTACAGCTCCATATAGCTTAACCCCTCCGTTGACACCTTCCCTCTTCAGGATATATGTGTTATGTGGAAGTGCACGGAAAATAAAGTTAAAAAAAAAATGTATAAACAATGAAAAATATAAATAGAATAAAATATAAATAAATAAAAATATATACATCAGTATATTCAAAATAATTATTTTTAATCGGTTGCCTTTTATGTGATATAGCAAATTGTATACAAGTATGTTTAATATGTATTATTTTGTTTAAACTCTATGATAAAGAATTAGGTTCTACTTTAAATTATATAAATTTAGTTTTTATAAATAACCAAAGATAAACTAAACGGAATATAAATATAAAACATTGTTTTATTTTGTTCAAATTGTATGATAAAGATGAGGGGCTTGATTTAATTTTAATAATTTGTTTTTTTAAAGTAATTAACCTTAATTATTAGTATTCCGACTTGGTCAACGAACAATGGTGTTCTATGCACTTAAGTTCAATTTTTTCTTAGTGTACAATCGGCTAAGCACGCGTGTTGTGTCACCGTCTGACGCGTTTTCTCCGACTCTGGGGTTCCCCATTTCTCTCTGTGTGTGTGTGTTTGCTCTCGTGAGATTTACAACGTGACAGCGCACAAGTCCAAAAGTGGTAATGGCGAGGGGAATGCGAGATCCGAGATTCCGGGGGGCAGGAACTGGGGGCCAGGACCCTTTAGGTTGACCCAAGGGGCTGCACCTGGGGAACCAAATGACTTCGACGACGACAGCGACACGTGCCAAGGACACTGATTTATATGTTTTCCATTTTTGTTTTATTAGCGGCCTCGTCGTTTCTCGCACCTCTGCTCGCCTCGATTCGCCTCTTGTCTCTCTTGTGGAAAACGTGCGTGGAATTAATGAGGACTTTCCGCTATCTCACTCCGCCAGCTACACTATTTTTCTACCCCGCACTTTAAAGCGGTCTGCTGAATGGGCAAATTAAAATGAGCATGAAATAATCATAAATTCCGCATTGGCGCATTAAAATTTCCATCGCTTAAAGTCAAGCTTCCATTTGCCAGACGATTGGGAAAGGGGCCGAAGAACTGGGGGCACGTTTTCCCGACAGCTATGGGCGTCCCATCAAAGGGGGTGGTAGTGGAAAAGGGGGGGTGGCAGAAAAGGTACGGCGGAAGCTGGCAGCTATGCCACCGGAAATGGCTGCGTATATCCTGGAATAGGAAGCCATCGCATTCGCCATCGCTGGCAATAGTTTTGCGGTGCTTTGGTCGCAGTTGCATTTGTGTTTTACAATATGAATAGATCCCAGATTGGCAGACAGCCGGGTAAAGGGGTGCTGTGAGGCTGTTCTGGTAAACCATTTTGACCAGTTTCCTTCATCTTTACCCTTAAAAAAAAAAATCATAAAAAATAAATCTCCAATAAAAAAAAATTAAGTTGTTCTGTACTAAACATACTCCAACAGAACTTGCACTTTAATTAGCCATCATTAGTTTATCTTATAAAAAATAAAGAATGAATGTAAAAGGCACTATTTACTATTATTTATTATTTTTAGCTGACCTTCGCATTTAAATTTTTAACTTTTAAACCCAACAATTACTGTAAATTTCAAGAAAAATTAAAATATATTTTATTGGGTATATGTTTTTTTAGACACTTTGAGATTGGAGATTGTTACCCAAAAATAAAAATGGTGCGTCGAATCTTTTGGCTGTATAGCTGTGCTATCAAACAGTAGACATGGACTTAGCAAAGACCCATCTGTCAAGATCTTATTGAACTTCATTCGTTATTTTTTTTAGTCAAATATAGTCAGGCAAGATTCAAAATTTAAAAAAAAGTGATTTAAGCAGATCGTGATATTTAAGTAGTAGAATAGTTGTAATCCGAGATGCATTTTTTTGGTGCTCTGGTCAATGTGCTGCTGGCTGCGGCCTGCTTGTACGCAATGTACTCATTGACTCCGGCGGACAATCCGTACGGTTACTTGGCGGCATCCTTTACCTTTGTGCACGGACTGCTGGGGCTGGTGCGCTCCTTCACCGACGAGCTCGACGAGTGTGGGCGCACCTTTGTGATCTCTGCTAGTATACTGGAGGTCATACCACTGCCCCTGGCGAACATCGAGTTCTACCTGGTATCCGATCATTCAGGAGTGGCGCTGGTGCACGGCCTTTCGCTCATACCGCTCTTCTACGACATGCTCGGAAAGATGGGAGACGAATGGGACAGTTCCACAGAGACGCTCAAGGACCTTGCGCTCATCGGAAACATTGCATCCACCTCGTATCTGGCCATCAAGGATGGCAACCATATTTATGCCGCTATAGCTGCCACCGCATTTATAGTACGATTCGGTGCGGCTCTGATCGATCGTTTCGTGGAAGGTCTCGGCGCCCATGCGGCAACAGTGGGAAATGCTGGAATCTTGGCCCTTATGACCTACGCACTCACTGAGGGCTAATCGCTTCAACTCCAAATAGAGCTACTCAGGGAATTAAAACTTAATTAAACTTGACCATGTTTTTTATTGTTTGACGTTGAACAATTTTTAAATCGTCGGTTTTGAGAGTTTTGGCTAGCATTAACTAGAAGACTATAGATTCAAACGCCATAATTTTAGTCTATATTAGTTCTAGATACAAAAAAATAAGTCAAATCCGGAGAAACACTTTCGTTTAATGCCATAAAATTAATTCATTATTAAACAAACAAAATAGAAAGCTAGTTGATCAATGTTTATTAACTACTAAATTTCATAATATAAACATGCATTATTTATTATGTTTATCTGTTTCTTAGTTAAATTTGTTTAATATGCAGTATTTTTTGGTGATTTTCGGAACTTTCCTGACACACAAATCCATTCTCTTTATCAGCGAGCCACCAGATTTCGTTCGCTGGCCAACCGGCGTACAAAGCCAGAAAACCGCGGCGAGATTTTCATTTCAATTTGGTGCCAAAAATGCCCACAGATGAGCAAGGGAGGAGCTTTTCCATGAAAAGCGGGAAATTGAGGACCAAAATCCAGAGGTGGGTTGTGAAAACGGTAGCTCAGCAGACACGCAGTCGTTTGGTCGCTCGTTAGCCAATTTAGTTTTAACGTTGCAGCTGCTGCTTGTGTTATCATTCAATTGCCGCCTGCACTGAAATTTTGCATACCATGTAGAAAGATTAGTGGTGGTAGATAGTAGTTGGTATATAGCCTTAAGACCACTAAACAGTATGATCCAGGGAAAAACAAGAAGGCACAATCGAACTGTTTTCTAAAACATGGGCAACTATATAAAGTTCACTTCCTTGAACAATAAATGTTGTTTCCAGTAAAGAAAAATATAAAAAAAATAATAAGTAATATTTCCAAAATAATAAATAATTTAGAGAAAATAAAAAAATGTATTTAAAGTTTATATACAAACATTTAATACAGATTACTAGCCAAGAAACTTTATTAATAACCTCAAGTAATGACTGCGGCTTTCACTTTTATTATAAATATTTAAACTGTTTTATTACCTAGAAAAATAATAATTGCTATAATTATTAAATAAGAATAAACGAATATTTTCAAGGAGTTACCCACAAAACCCATAAATTGAATGCTTCGGAAACGACTGGTTTTCCAAGTGCATCAGATTAGTGTCCATAACTATGAGTAATGACCATTCTGGCCAGTAGATCCCATCTGCAGCTCCCGTCAAGGGCTTTTGCCGGATTCTGGTCGGGTTTAATTGGGCGAACGCAATGCAATGCTCACTTTGAGCAGGCCACTTGACTATCCAGCTGAACAGCAGCCTTCGATGGGAACGCCTGGCGAAATTAGCCTAACTAACCCTAACCTCCGGGGTTTGGGTTGCCCCCCATTTCCCGTCCAAAAGTTCCCCAGATCCCATTCTCACCTCGACCCCAAAAGGCGATAGTTGTTGACAAGGATAACAGGCCGTTGGGCATTTTGACCCAGCGTCAAGTGCATGACTATCTGATTGCATTCTATGCCATGAGTTTTGGCCGGAAAAGCGTTTAAGCCATCGAACTGAGTGGGGGAAAAAACGTGCTCGGAATTTAAGCAGCACTGGAAAAACTGCTTTTTGTTATAGAAAAGCTTAAAATTTTTAAGGGACAGATTTTGAATATTTTAAATATTTTATAAATGTTACACAATAATTATAATTCAGAAAATAATGTTTACTCAATATATAATATATGCCTAGCTATGTACTTAAAATAATTTTGGAACATTAAGTAAATAATTTTGGAATTTTGTTATAAATTATTTAAACCATTGTAACAATTTAATATTTTACCAAAATTTAAAATATAGCTATGTATTTAAAATAAATTAGCAATTAAGCCTAACAAAAAATTCAGAGACCCCAAAAATTTAAAGCCTGTTTTCCTCTGTGAATCCTAATCCCGACAAGAGCTTGCTCCTCTTGCATACAAAATTGGTTTAATTCAATAAAATTATCAAACAAACTTGTTTCTGCGGCCACATCGGTTATGAGTCAGCATTTTAAATTGCTTTTGTTAGCAGCCTGAAGCTCTATACCCGCGGGCAATTTTTAGCTATGCTGCTCAAAACTCTGCAAAGTAATTATATTAAAAAAAAAATTGCAAAACAAAAAAAAAATAACTGCGTTTGGGCAAAAGAACTAAGTACATAAGCAGCGTAGAGAATAATAGGGGGATGGGGTGGCGAATTCGATAGCATTTTAGCTGGATAAACAAATTTCTTTGGCAGGCGAGCAAGAGCCAAGCAAATATGAAATTCCATTAATTTGATGGATGCTCCGGGCGCCGAGAAGTGGAGGAAATGTGTGATAGCGGTTCGAGTTCAACACCATGCACCCCACGGGGCGTATGATTAATGCAATTTTCTGTTGCCGAGAGGCAAGTCAAAGTCAGTGGAAACACAATGCATTTATTAATGAAGAAGTAATCGATAGAGCAATCTTATATCAAATTCGCTTTGTTGCAGGTGAACTTTAAAAAATTACAATATAAAAGCATGGTACTAATTTGACCCTTTTGGCCCTTTTATTTGTATTTACTTTTATTTTTGTTTTTATTAAATAGCTACTACCTTAAGAGGCTTTCAAACTTATGCATAAAAGTCCCTATTTTCTTAAAAAATGTTATAAAATTTTAATTAAGTTCAATTAGAAATGAACAACTAGTTAATATCTAGTTCTAACAAGTTACGGAATTTGTAAGCTTTTTTAACCAAAAATAGGTTTAGAAATTACTTTTTATCTTCACAAAAAGCAGTTCCATTTAATTATCAGGCCAACTCAAGTTCAAGCTAAACTAATTAACTAAGTTTCATTGACTTTCAAATCAATTAACATACCTCTTGTTTAATTTTAAACGACGGAATGCAACTTGGCGAAGTATAACTTGTATAAAAGAGTGGATGATATAGGTTTTCATCACTCATTTCTTTAACTCCAGTTCGAAATGTTCGTCCAGTGGATTTTCCTGATCTCCAGCGCCACGCTGATCTCCTCCAAATGGATTCCGGAACGCATCGTGGGAGGTCACTTGGTGTCGATTGAGTCGGTTCCCTGGCAGGCTTCCCTCCTAAAAAATGACAAATATGATTGCGGCGCGGTCATCTATAGTGAGACAGTAGTTTTGACAGCAGCTCACTGTGTCAAAGACCCATCGCCTTCTCTTTACTCCGTAAGAGTGGGCTCATCGAGTTCTATAATCGGAGGTCAAGTGGTGAAGGCATTGCGAGTCCTAAAACATGACAAGTATGGTCAGCCATTTGAAGGCTCCAATGACATAGCAGTGATCCAACTTCAATCCAGTCTTCAAATGGGAGTTGGTGTGAGTTCCATCCCACTGGCCGATAGTTCTCCGCGACTAGGATCTTCAGTCTCAGTTTCTGGATGGGGAAAGACCGGATTATTCAAGGGGGGTTCTGAACTTCTACTTCAGACCACAGTGGCTATTGTGAATCAGAAAGCCTGCCAAAAATCCCACTTCGGACGAATTTCCAAGGACATGATTTGTGCCGCTGCTTTGGGAAAAGATTCCTGCTTTGGGGACTCAGGAGGTCCTTTAGTATCCAGTGGCAAACTGGTGGGCCTTGTCTCCTTTGGGGGATTTATGTGTGCCAATCCCTTTCGCCCTGGTGTCTATGCTAATGTGGCTGAGCTCAAGCCTTGGATCTTAAGGACTATTCAAAGCCTTTGAAGCAGCCAGAATCTACTCAATTACTTTATAAAATATTGGGTTAAATAAAAAACAGCATTAAAAAAAATTTATGACGAATGGTTTTATTTACAGAAAGGATTAGGCTTAGACAAAAACAAAAAAAGAAAGCTATTTTCGGCGATACAAAATTATAAACAAAATTATAAACAATAGTCTCATGCAACAGTTTAGTTTAGTTTTTATGACAATTTTCTATGCTTATATGTATAAAAACAATGCCAGACGGACATGGCTAGCTCGACTGTCCTAGCGTGCTGATCTAGAATATATATACTTTATAGGTTCGAAAATGTCTCCTTCTCAGCGTGGCAAAATTCTGACTGAAATTAAATTACCCTATGCAAGGGTATTAAAAATATATATAAAATGCATAAAATCAGATTTTAGGATCGTGATTTACTACTATAAAGCCTATAACACTAAAATGTAAAATATAAAAAAAGCAATATTTTTAAGAAATTTTATGGTGCGAATACATGTTTATAGAAAACAATGAGCTTGTTATTTGCAGCGTTTATTTTGTAACGCTGGCTCCATTACAGTAAATGGTAGTCTAAAAATGATTTCACCCGATAATTTAAAATTTTTATAGACATTTTAAAATATTTTAAATTAAAAAGAAAACTAATTTGGTTTCTATTTTAAAGACATAAGAGATTGCCCTAAATGCTTACTTGTTACATATTAAATACTTATAATAATAGCTAAATCATTCATATAGTTTGTTTGTGTAGTTGACTTTCGTCTAAATTAAAATTGGTTTCTATTTTAAGGACATAAGAGATTACAGCTAAATACTTACTTGTTACATAGTTTGTTTGTGTAGTTGATTTTCGTCTGATGTGTAGAATATTCATTAACATTCTTGTGTTAATAGGCTAAAAACAAGGAATTCCTGCTTTTACAAAAGTATACCTATAAAAGAGTGTATTACCTTAGGGGAAATTACTCTGAACTTAAAACGCAGTTTGAAATGTTCCTACAGTGGATTTTTGTGATCTCAAGCGTGGGCCTGATCTCCTCCAAAAGGATTCCGGAACGCATCGTGGGAGGTCAGTCGGTGTCGATTGAATCGGTACCCTGGCAGGCTGCCCTCCTGAAAAATGGCGTTCTGTGCTGCGGTGGTGCCATCTACAGTAAAGACTTCGTTATAACGGCAGCCCATTGTGTTCAATCCCGTCGTCCTGGCGCCTTTTCCGTGAGAGTGGGCTCGGATTACTCCTACTCCGGTGGCCAGGTAGTTAGAGTATCCAAAATTCTGTCCCACGAGGGCTACAGTCGGCGTCTGTCCAACGATATAGCCGTGATTCGACTACAGTCCAGCCTCAGAATGAGTAGCACTGTAAGCAACATTCCCTTGGCCAATAGTTCTCCACCAAATGGCTACCCTGCCTCGGTTTCCGGATGGGGAGCTCTTGGTTATAATCAAAAATTGGCCCAATCCTTAAGTGGCGTCACAGTGAAAATAGTGGATCATAAAATGTGCTCAGAATCCTATGACGGATACATCACTGCGGATATGATCTGCGCCGCTGCCCCGGGGAAAGATGCCTGTACAGGGGACTCGGGAGGTCCTTTGGTCTCCAATGGCAGACTTGTTGGCATCGTGTCCTTCGGCAACGATTGTGCTCATCCAAATTACCCAGGAGTCTATGCAGATGTGGCTGTGCTTAGGACATGGATCTTAAGTGCTATTCAAAAACTTGTATAACAGAATTTGTATAGCAAAAATACATGTTTTTCCAGGGGGGTTGGTTAAGGTTCATTCTATAGGTAAGCTTAAGCATAAGCTGAATTTTAAGTGATATTTAAAGCCTTGGCAAACTTAACAACTATTTGTAAGGCTTATAAGGTAGAGTAAACGAACTATTTTTATTTTAAAACAAATATAAGTATTAATGTATAAGAACTACAGCTCGTGACAAAACTAGTCAATAATTTGTATTTAAATAGTATAGCCAATGTTTACTTTGAATAGAATTTTAATTTTAAAAAGTTTTTTATAATCAATGACACCAATAGAAATCTTAAGCAAAGATTTACATTTTTAAATAGTACAAGAAAGACATAAAATAGTAATTCGCTGTGGTAATCATATTAGTGACTGGTTTGTAAAACTTTCATTCAAATTTTGTATTGTTTTAAGTAACTGCTTAATAATATATTATATATATATATTGGAAACTGTTTTGTAAAAAAGTAATAAATAAAAAATTCTCGTAATTCTAAGAATAGGTTCTAAAAATATGATAAAAGCAAATTACATCTTATGATTATTGGTATCAATGCTTAATAACATTTTTAAGGACTCAAATAACATGAGAATAAAAGCAGTTTTTATAAATGTAACCATTGATATAATTAATTGCTTTCTATTCTCAATGATAAAAAATAGACTTTTATGTTTAGTAATTTTTTCTTAGAAATATAATCTTTGCTAGAAGGTGGCCTTATAGGAATTTTAATTGAATTTTATTTTTAAAGCTTAAAAAATATTCTTCGTTGTTTAGTTTCCTTGTTTTAAAAATTGTATCTTTAATGGAAATCATTTAACAGTGGTATGTTAATTGATTTGTATTCCTTAAGTTAAAAAAAAAACATTATTTTATGTTTAGTTCCTTTGGCATTCATTAACATTCTTTGAATATTATGCAGGATAAATTTAATGGGAAAATCCCTTTTCCACTTGTATAAAAGAGGGCTCATCCGAGTCAAAGTCAAACACAACTCTAAATCGGTTCGAAATGTTCATACAGTGGACTATTTTTATCTCCAGCGTCACCTTGATTCTTGGCGAATCTACTCTGCAGAGGATAGTAGGAGGTAACCCGGTGGCAATTTCTGCTGTTCCCTGGCAGGCTTCTCTGCAGTATTTTCGCTCACATGTTTGCGGAGCTGTCATCTACAGTGACCAGATCGTTATAACGGCAGCTCACTGTTTTAAGAGTGATATACGTTTACTATACTCCGTGAGAGTTGGAACAGCGATCAAACAAACTGGAGGTCAGGTGGTGAAAGTATCTGCGATTCGGAAGCACGAAAGTTTCAAGAGGTTTCCGAACGGTAATTTAGACAACGATATAGCCGTGATTCGACTAAAATCCAGGCTCAGTTTGGGTGCCAACATAAGTCCCATTCCACTGGCAGATAGTTCTCCAGCTGTTGGATCTGTCGCCTCCGTTTCAGGATGGGGAAAAATCGATCCGCTGCTGCCATTCTCCATCAAACTACGCGAAGTATCAATCAACATAGTGGATTCTAATGACTGCCAGCGATCCTTTGAGAATATAAACCAGAACATGATTTGCGCCGCTGCCCCCGGAAAGAGTCCCTGTATGGGAGATTCCGGCGGTCCTCTGGTCTCCGGTGGAAAACTCGTTGGCATTGTCTCATACGGGAGAGAATGCGGTCATCAAAAATACCCCGTAGTTTTTGCAAATGTGTCTCAACTTAAGCCTTGGATCTTAAGTACTATAAACAGCCTTTGAAAGCTCAACAGGCAAGGCACATGGATAATACAACATTTTTGTTTATAAAGCCTGTATAAAACAACAAATTTATTAATAAAGCCTGTATACAAAAATTAATTTATGTGTTAAATTGGGGTTTAGTTGGCCGTTGTTATTCTCTGTTAAAAAAACAAAAAACATTTTATTAAGGTTTATTAAAGTTTGTTTAAAAATTATAGAAAGCCTTAACTTATTGAAACTAGATAAAAAGCAAACATTAGTTTATCAGTCTTATTTTAACTTCCTGGATTGTACAACTTTCTTTACAATTCATTTTAGATATTAATAAGTTTTTATTTGTAGAGTTTCAAAACATTGGAATTAATATTTAGTTCACTAGGTAATTAGTTTCTTTGTGGTATCTGAATTTCTTACTATCTATTCATTAACATTCCAGTATTACTTTGCTGGAAAAATTAGTTTTATACCTATAAAAGAGAAGCTTACCAAGGCGAAAGTCATTTATAAGTCCACGGTTCTTTGAAATGTTTATCGAGTGGATTTTTGTGATCTCCAGCGTACTCCTGGCTTCTGCCGGTTGGATATCGGAGCGGATTGTGGGAGGTTACCAGGTGCCCATATCAGAGGTTCCCTGGCAGGCTGCTATTCTTTTAAATGGAACTGCTAAATGCGGCGCTGTTGTCTACAGTGATAAGATCCTAATTACGGCCGCACATTGCATTCCCGAAAATAAATCAGACATATCCATCCGAGTTGGCTCTTCGACGTGGAACAACGGAGGTCAACTATTACAGGTAGACGACGCAGAAGTGCATAAAGATTACAGTTCAACAAAGGATGTCCTGATCAACGATATAGCCGTAATTCGAGTTAAGGGTCATTTTAAGATGGGCCACAGTGTTAGCTCCATTCCTTTGGCAGAAAGTACGCCTGAAAGTGGATCACCTGCATCGGTTTCTGGATGGGGAGCTGTTGGCCATTCGCAGAAAGGATCTGAACACTTACTCCAAACCACGGTGAACGTAGTCAGTCAGGAGGACTGCCAGAAGTCCTATGGCGAGAGGATAACCAAGAGCATGATTTGTGCCGCTGCCCAGGGAAGAGACTCCTGCTCCCAAGATTCTGGAGGTCCACTGGTCTCCGACGGCCAACTAATTGGTATTGTCTCATTCGGATCAAGTTGCGCTGATCCAAATTACCCTGGAGTCTATGTTAATGTTGCCGAACTCAAGCCTTGGATATTGAGGGCTATTGAAAAACTTTCTTGTCTATGTGCCGGAAAAGTATGAGGCATACTTAAAGTCATACAACCTAAATACAAATTCAGAAAATTTTAAACAAAATTAAACAGACATGCTCTTAAAATTGTAATTATTATTTTTAAAATTTTTTACAAATTAAATACTTGCAGTCATAAAACGTTATTTAATTTGGGAACACAAAAATGTTATCGACAACTTATAAATTCTATATATACATAAATAAGAGTTATTAAAAATAATTAACTAACTTTTATAATTAGTTCCGTTGGTAATTGGATTTTTAGGTGTCTTTCTTGACTTTTTATCAACATTCTTTCACTGCTATGTCAACTCGCTACCTATAAAAGAAGCAGTCAACTGAAGCTAAAATCAATCTTAATTATAGTTTCACGTTTATTTGAAATGTTTATCGAGTGGAGTTTTGTGATCTCCAGCGTCACCCTCATTTCTGCAGAATGGAAAGCGGATAGGATTGTAGGAGGTCATTCAGCGGTTCCCTGGCAGGCTTCTCTTCTGAAAAATAGAAACCATTATTGCGACGCCGTTATCTACAGTGATGAGATCGTTATAACGGCAGCCCACTGTATTCCTGTCAACGAAAATACAATCGTAACCATAAGAGTTGGCTCATTCGAATGTCACTCCGCTGGTCAGGTGGTAAATGTTTCAAAAATCAAAATTCATGAGCATTTTACCCGAAGTTTATCAAACGACATAGCCGTGATCCGACTTAATTCCAGTCTCCAAATGGGTGTCAATGTGATGTCGATTCCATTGGCCGATATTTCTCCACAACATGGATCCACAGCCTCAATCTCCGGATGGGAAGATGGTGTCTGTAATAAGCCAGGATTTAGAACCCTACTGGAAAAGCCTGTGGTCATAGTGGACTGCCAGAAGTCATATGGCAAAAGTACACCCCGGAATATGATTTGTGCCGCATCTTTAAAAAAAGATTTCTGTTCCGCGGATACTGGAGGACCTCTGGTGTCCGGTGGCAAATTGGTTGGCATCGATTCCCTTGGCATAGGATGTACTAATAAAAATTACCCGGGAATCTATGTTAATGTGGCTGTTCTTAAGCCTTGGATCTTGAAGGCTATTAAAAAGGTTTCATTGCCAGGTAGAGGAAAAGTATTTAAAGCAGGTCTTTAAAACAACAAGTAGAAAGACTTTACAAAAAAAAAAAATAATACTAAAAGCTTACTTTAATTTTGAAAATTAAACTGAAAGCATGTATTTTAAAGAACAAATACATTGTTAAAATTTCAACAATAATTCATGCCATCTGGTGGCAAAAACTTTGTGCGCAATGCTTGAAATTATTTGCATGCACTCCTTTTCATTCCTTCGGCTCCTTTAGATATTCCTCCTTCTTCCGGAATTGTCTGCAACTTAATCTCCGCGCTGAGTTTGGGGCTTGAAAAAGCGATTTCCGAGTCATTGGGCAATGCAAACTATGCAATATAATCGCATGATATATGCCTAATCTCTGCTGCAAACTTGCCATCGCCGAGAAAATGGAAAATCGCAGCCCGGGGAAAATAGCCAGCCGCTAAGCCAGTGGAAAAACTGCTGCTGGAGAGTCAATTCCAGCGATTAAATTAAGAATGCATAACTTGCAGGGTTAACAATGTAACCAGGCGATGGGAAAGGACCAGAGGGATTGAGAAATGGGAGAAACGGGAGAAATGGGCGATTCTACGAAGGAACTATAGAACAGAGCGCAATTGCCTTGACAGAAGCACGAACGGGGTCCCTGATTTTTATTTGCCATTCCCTTTGCTCCCATTTCTCCGCTTCTTCTCGAGAGTGCAAAAAAAGAAAGTAGAAAGAAGAAAGCAGTGCAGCTCATGCTACTTATCTGTTTTTTTCAATTTGCGATTTGTTTGCTGCAGCCACTGTTATTAGAGCACTAAGAAAAAAGCCTTGATTTCTGAGATATAATATATATATAATATTATATATCCAATAACTATAAATCTATTAATATCGCATGTTTGGGATAAAATCTTAAGTACAACTTTCAACCCAACGTTAAAGTCCAAAAATTAATTTTCAACATTTTTTTTTTGTTTCTTATTGTGGTTTGGTTTTTTAAACCACATCATCATACATGGATAGAAAGAAGTCCCATAAAAGAGATATGAAAAAATACTAGCAATACACTTTTTTTTCTCTGCACTGTTCCTAACCTCAGAGCAATTTCCCTCTACTTTCTCCCATCAAGAGAGTCATGTCGGAAGCCGTGTTGTTTCAGGTTCCTGCCTGCCTTCCTGTTTGCTTATTTGTTTGCACTTTGGACATGGAAACGTGCTTGGTCGGGCCTTTTATAAACATCTTGTATAACTGGCTGGCAGTTTCCTTCAGCCGCCACCCACTTTTGCACCCACCTTGCGCTTGTATTTGTTTTTAATAGAATTTCTTTTCTGCTGCGCTTTGCTTTGAGTTTTGCAAATAGTTTTCATAAATGTTGTGGTTATGATTCAATGGGAGTACGGACGGATCCCAGAGGACTGTGGTGGCCCATCGCTTTTAATTTGTTCAAATGCAAGTTAACAGAAACAAAAGCCATCCAGCTGAGACCAGGATATGTCGCTATAATAAAAGATTTTCACACTTTTTTGTTTACTTTTCCAATGGCTACGTTTATGGGAGAGATTTCAAAATATTTTCAAGACTGAGAATAAAAAAAACCAATAAAACAATCCAAAGTTATATGTTTTTAATAATATTAAAATGAACTGTAACAATAAACTTCTTCACGAAAAATAATTTTAGGAAACAAATATTTATTGCTCAGTCTTAAGATTGGACGTTTATTTACAAATAAATATAAATTGTAATATTTAAATGAAGGTAAATATTTTGCATTATTTTTATGATCATTCGATCTATTCTATTATTAAAAGATTTTTTCTTTACGCATAAATGTAAATAAAAAATTGCCCAGACTTGTAATTGAATTAATCTCGGCTCACGTTACTCCTTTTTTCTCCAACTTTCACATAATCCCCTCACAGTGCTGAAAAAAGTTAGCACACATGCACTATTAGCTTACGTCAGCATATTTGCGAACGTGTGCGTTAACTTTTTTGACCACCAGACATTAAACACACACACACACGCACACGCTTACAGCCCAGGGAAAAAAAGGGTTTAAGCCCAAGCAACAAGAAAAAATAAGGGATTCTCAGCTGCATTTTGTGAGCGCTGGGTGAAAAGGGGCGGGACTCACAGGACAGCATGTGCCGTTGCCTTTATTGCTGGCTTTTAAATGTTAACAAAGTGCGTACTTTGTTGTGTGCTTAACTGGCATTAAGAGCGACCAAAGCAACACACACAAAAACCCCAATCATTAACTTGTCTTTTAACACAAAGTGCACTCTATAAAGAGTGAAAAAAAATTTTTATGAGACGCGTTTAGTGCTAAAAGCATAAACGAATGCCTAATTTGTGAAAAATTGTACTCCCAAACAATTATGATTTCTTTTTACATTTAACAAACTTTTATAACATAAGCATGGCAGTATAAATTCTGTTTTAACTTTTATAAATTATTAAATCCAATTATTTGTTCATTGTGTTGCATACCTTAACTTAAATATACATAATTTGTTTTTTAACAGCATTGACAGTTTATAGCTGATTTTTATCCATTATTTTGTTCCATAAGAAGGAAAATGTTTAATAAACTGTTTTTTTTTTATTTTCTGTGAGATATTTTGAAATATATAATTTAATATTAGTGGTGTAATTTTTTATTGTCGATTGTTTATAAAAAAATGCTGCCTACAATATTAATAAATAACAAAGCAGATGTCAAATTGTTTCATTGTGCAATGTAGCAATGTTTCAAACGAAACCAAAGCCAAAATCTGTCGGTTGCCAGTAAACTGAGATTGAGAACAATTTCTGGCCAAGATGCTTTTGGTAAGAAAACCACACGACACACTCGACCTGTCAACACACTTTCCCCTTCTTCCACTCCTCCGAAGTCTTAAGTCCTCTCGTATCCTTTCCTTTTTTTTCGGGCCTCTGACATATTCCATATATCGTATATTATGCATGCAGTGCCAGGCAATGGCCAGAAGAATATTCAAAGCATTTAGCAACTCATTGTCCCTTTCGCCAGCAAACCAGCAACCGAGCAGCAGCAGCAATCCCACAAGCAACATCAACTGAAAAGCACAAGACGATGACGATGACGACGGGGAAAAATGTATTCATGGCCTCCCAAATTGTATAATTTAAGTTTGCACATAAAATCACACCGCAAACTTGGGAAAAAGGCCCGAAAAGTAGAAGCCGCAACAACAACAGCACTCAAGTGAACTGACATAGATACGGATATGTGAATTGCTAGGGGAGTATATACTTAGTAGATGTAAGGGAAAATTCTTATCGTCCAGGGTTGGGTGGTCATATAATGATGAGGGTCTCATTTATTTAATACCAGCTGATCTGGATTAAAATTTATATAAAATCAGTCTAATAAATACAATAAATAATAAATTGTGTGATTTATTATTAAAATATTACATTTTAATAGGACTTTTTGGTTAAAAATTCATAACATTTTAAGTTGACGATGGTTTGAATTAAAAATTACATTTAAATCTATTCCGAAACTATTCAAATGAATTATATAAAAAAATGTAATATTAAAAATGAATTAAAATAGAGCGAAAAATATTTAATTGATTTTAATTTTTGAAAAAAAAATAAAATTAAGTTTAAGAAACTCAAATGTACATCATTTTTGAGCTTATTGCTATTGCATTTACAGTTTTCTTAAAATTTCTCTGACTTATCCAATCCCTTTAACAGAATCTTTGGAAAACTGTTTGTTTTTTGAAATAGCACACTTGCAGCCCCTGAATGCGACTTCCCCTAACCAATTTCTCACTTTCCCTATGCCCTTTTTACCATTACTTGAAGACGGGCGCCTCTATTACACAGTTGAGCACACAACGGAACCGAATTTTCCGACCACCCCACCTACAACCACTCCACACACATCAAATTTAAATATTTTAAAGAGGAAACCGGACGCAGGACGCAGGACACACCGACAGACGGAACAAAGCACAAAACTTGTGTGCCATAAAAGCGCTATAAAATTGCACAAATAGCATTGGAGACGTGGAGATCCAGAAATCCAGAGAGATACGGGGTACATATGTAAGTAAAGTAAAGTGTTTCTTCCAACTTCCTGCCCGATGTCTGCTGACCTAAGTGCGTGTGCACATGAACTTTAACGAGTGGGAGGTCCTTTTGCTTCTGCTCCTTTTTTGCCAGCAATGTAAGTCATTGTCATCGCCTTCGTATCGTACTCATTTGCCAGGATATCTTTTGTAACCTTTTCGCCACCCGCAAAACGAAACCTGATTTCGTTTTAATTTTTCCTTTCTTTCTTTGGCTTTTCCAGGGGTTTCCGGGGGATTTCCCCTTGCTTCCCGGGCGACAATCTCAACACCCAACACATCAGCAAAGTTATGGCACTCTCAGGCTTTCACACGGTCCATTTCTGGGCGACAAATTGGTCTTCAGGCCGTCAACGAAAAAGGTTACGTTCGACATTCTTGGCTCTTGAATTTTCCAGTGAATTTTTGAAGGGGTGTCTGAAAAGTCCTTTGGTCATCAGTTACTTTGGGTATAACTATGAACTTGGGAGACATTCTGTGTGGGCTGCCTTAATTAGAATGCCATAATGGAAATGCCAGCGTCCACACATACGGCTCATAAATAATTTATATGCCATGAAAACGAATGGGGAAATTTAAATAATCAAATTCACTGGGGCAGGGCAAATATTGTGCCCTCGGGTATTCACACACACAAACTCACAATCATCAATCGAAAGAAACCATTTCGGGTTAAATCGAAGGTGGGCAACTATTTCAAGGAAACGGAAAAAGGATAAATGATTTTGCATAAAATTTAAGTGAAAACATTTTCCCACCTGAGATTCAACATACCTGAAAAGATTATTCCTGTGGCTGCCATTCGGCATGGCCGTCATTCTGTCAATTTAAGACAACAATTACGATAAGTGAGCTGGGATATTTATTAAGCCAATCAATGGATTATGTCAAACTTTAATTGTCTTGGCTTGTCAACTTTATGAAGTTGCCCGGAGATGATTTTGACTTAAAGCAAAATTCGAGAGAAATTAAATTCACATGTATTTTCATTATATTTGAATTAAGGTATGCATCGTGCTTTGTAAAGCACAATTACATTTATTTAAAATAAACTTTCAAAAACCAATCAGCAAAATTATTATTTTATTTAAAAAAGTTATTATTTATTTTAAAAGTTATTTTTTTAAGTTTTTTTTTTTTGAATTTTTCCATTATTTGTTAAACCCATAAAATGTTTAACAACAAGCTTTCTCTCTCTCTCAAAATTAATTTTCATTTTCGTTTAACATAGACATGAACTTAAAACTACCATCCAAACATTCCCAAACTATCGCAGCTAGAATTAAATTAAATTAAGTGCTAAAACTTTAGAGTATACACACATGTATTTACCACTTCCTTCTAACTTTATACCCGAGTGCGGACTTACCTCAAACTCAGCACCCACAACAACGACAACTTTAATTAAGTGAAAATTATGATGCTGTCAGGAAAAGAAGGAGACGGCAGGCATATCAGCACACTGGGTGGGCGTCAAGTGGGTGGCCGCTGGTCACACGTGGCGTATGAATAATGTAAAATCTCAACTAATTAAGCCGGGTAAATGCATTAACAACAACTCGCTTCGCCGCGGCCTCTGGCCCCAAAAACACTGCAATTTTGTACAGCATTCTATGGCCCCAGATGCAGCAACAACAATTTAGGTAACATATTTTTTGTTTTAATTAAAATTTTTGTTCCAAATATGCGGCCAACCGGGATGAAATGCAGCGGGAAAAGAAGCAGTAGAGTATGTTCTGAAACTAAACCATTTAATAAGGAATTTTAGTTGGGAAAACAAGACATACCACTTAATTCTCCCAAAGATCAACGTCAGGATAGTCCATGTCGGGTTCGGTGACCAATGCCATTTCTATAGGCGCTTTGGGTATGGGTAGAGCTTTTATAGTTATCAGAAGGGTAAAAAACGCAAGGATATATAGAAAACACAACATCATTTTTGCCTATTTTAAAATTTTAGTTAAATTTTAAATTCGATTTTATTCCGTTTTGACAAAAATTAAAATGATATTTTGTTTAAGAAATATTTGTAATTGTTGTAGTTTTTGAAGGAAAAATAAATATTATAATCATAGTATTCAGCATAATAATCTTCCTCAAATAATATGTGAACATTTTAACTTTAAAAATGTATAATATGAAAAATTTTAAGAATAAAAGCTCTTAAAAAACTGTAAAAACTTTGTGATGATAATGATGCACTTTTTCGAATAAAATTCCACTAATGCTTTTTTAAAGCCATTTCAGTTATATTTCATATTCGATCTTATTTCATTTTGACAAAAATTAAAATGATTTTTTGTCTAATAAGAGTAATAGTCATAGCAATTATCATTGTAGGCATAGTCTTCGCAGGAAACATAGTTATAATCATTGTAGTTTTCATTATAATAATCCTCTCCTTCACTGTAATAATCTTCATCTGATTCTTCTGAATCTTCATCTGATTCTTCTGAATCTTCATCTGATTCTTCTGAGTCTTCATTTGATTCAGTGGTTAATTGACTTGTTGTACTGCTGGATTTCTCGGTGGTGACCTCAGTAGTCTGTTCGCTGGAGCTTTGAGGTGTTTTGGTACTTGAAGATGGTGAACCATCAGTGGTGACCTCGACAGTGGTGCTCATTTCATCATTTGGCCTTTTGGATGCATTTTTATTTGTCGTGGTAGTGGATTTTCGGGTGGTGACCTTAGTAGTCTGCGTGGTTTTGGGTGGTTCTGTTCTTAATTTGGTGCTGCCTTTCTCCCTATTTGTTGTTGAGGATAATGGAGCTTCGGTGGTAACCTCAGAAGAAACTATTCTGGGGATTTCGCTAGTTACTTCAGAGGATGATTGAGTTTCGGTAGAGGTTTTTGCTTTAGTGCCTAAAAGTGGCATTATGTCAACTCATGTAACCTATTATTATAATCCTGTTTAGGATTTTTTTTTAAAGATCTTGATTCCAATTTGGGCCGGGCCGCGACCAAGGCAAGAAAAACTACGAAATAAAAACACACACTTTGAGCTCCGAACATTTTAAGTTAAGAATTGACAAAAGAATGGGTAAACCTTTTGCTGCTCATGGAGCTTTTATACATATTTCAACTGTTACAATACAAATTGGAATTTCCAAGAATTATACAATCTCTTGTTTGTATTTCTTTGTTAATACTTTTGACATAGAATTTAATTGGCTCACGTTTTTGCAGGGAAATAAAGATAAGAATAATTGTGTAAATAAGAAGTTTCCCAGTTCCAGAAAATATAACCTCTATTAAATTGTTTAAAATTAAATAATCTTATTAACAAATTTTGTATAATGCTATGAAAAATTCAAAGAAAAAAATGGTTATTCTAATCTTAGAAAAAAAATGGAAATAAGGACAGCTAAATTAATGTGAGCGCTTGAATTAAAAGCTTTTTGAAAAGGTTTTAAAATTCAAATGAAAGGGAGAATCGTAAACCGTTTAAAATCGTCTAAAAATAAATAATTTTTCAGGGTACTCCTTTTTATAAATGTATTAATAATCTTGGAAAAATGGAAAATCAGGCATGGTAAAGTTTTATCTAGAAACAGATTTTAAAATTCAAATGGAAGAAAGAATCACCATAATTAAGTTTTAGTACATTATCTCACTCTTGTTTATTCACAGTTTTGCAAAGATTAAATCTTAGATCTTAAACTACTCTTCTGTGGAGTTCTCATCCTCGTCCTCCCGTGGCGGTGGTTCCGTTTGCCACCGATGGCCCATCGCATAGGGTGGCTTTGAGTAGGTCTTCACATAGAAGGTTCCATTCTTCGGAATCGAGGGCTCTCCACCCATCCGGAATTCACCTTCGCTCAGCAGGAGAACCCAGGTGCCATCGTCATGACGCTCGCAACGGGGACCCCAAAATCCCGCCGGACTCGTTAGGGTCTCTATGAAATAGTCATGGGATCTTTTGTGCGAACAGCCATATACATAGCACTTTTTCTGATTTTTTCCATAGTTCGGATAGAAGGTAGCATGTCCCACGGGCTTCTCGAAACCGAAACTAACGCTGGTTTGAATGGATTCCACATAGGAGGCATCACTGGCATCGATTCGATACTCATCGCTTTTATCGCGGAACTGAGGACCCGCTGGATCCAAGGCATAAATTGTGTTAAAACGATATGGCATTATCTGTTTGCCAGCACTGCCAGCGATTTGGGCTCCCAACGAGTGCCCAATTATGTAGACATCATCGAAATGCATGTTGGCCTCCTGGTTAAGAAATCGCACCATATCCGCCAGCAGAGCACCCATATCCTCCACCGTCTTGGCCACCTCGTAATAATTCACATTCGTCGAAATCTTGCTCCAGTCGCATACAATCACATTGAAGTCCTCATAACGGGCGGGCTCACCATTGATTCCCGGATTCGTAAGGCTCAGATATGCATTCTTAATCTTTCTTATATGGGAACCCTTGCTTTGACTCATCCAGCCGTGGATAACAATTCTAAAAAAAGAGGAAACAAATACAATGAAGCGACTTTGTTAAAAACGAAGAACAACATTGCAAAATTACATGTACTGTTTAGCTTTTAATTATTTAAGAGCTGACTAAGAATAACAATATTATTATATTGTGGCATTTGCCATTTTAAACAGAAATAAAATGTGACTAAAAAATAAAGAGCTTCAAAACCTGTAGAACATTGAGTTTAAAATAATATTACCCATTTTAGAAAAGTGCAACTAATATTGTGAAATTGTAAGTATGATTTCCCCTCAAAATAAAAAGATCTTATCTAATGCAAATCATTAATTTCTCATCCTTAAAATTAAATAAAATACGGAGAAATAAAAAACAGTAAATGAAAAATAATATTACCCATTTTAGGCAAACATGCCACTAATATTTTGACTGAAACTGTAAATATGAATGCCCCTCAAAATAAACAGATCTTATCTCAGGCAAATCATCAATTCCTCCTGTTATCTTATCATTTTTACCATAAACATTGGCGTAGCGCATACCAATTTTGCAATTATCAAGTGTACTGTTTTTAATATATATTAATTGTTAATTGCCAATTATTCAAGTGTCAGTCAAATGGCAATGACTCAAAACGCGATAACCCAAACGAAAGCTCAGCGAAAAATGTAAATATAAAGCAGACAAACCAGTTTTCGTGATAGTCGCGAAATATAAAAATTAAATTATTTGGCAAGAGAATAAAGCAAATATTTGTTTTGGTTCTTTTCATTAGACTGGTGTTTTCCTCTCTTATTAATTAGTTGGTCTGTAACGTAGCACCAATTGAATAGGAATACTGAATACACTGCCAATTGATAAGTGTCAACAAGTTTGAACAGCTTTTTCGAACAATTATCCCACTGTTGAATACAAACAAATTGACTGTTGCACAATCACTTCCCTTAAAAAAAAGTTCCCCATTCGATTTGCAATCTGATGCCGTTAATCTTTTAGGAAATCCCCCTTACCTCGTTTGGTGACGTGCATCGAAGCCCGAGTTCTTGAGATTTTCCGAATCGCCAATGAACAATTCTTTTCCGCAATCCGCAAAATCGCGCTTGAAAAGTATGAACTGCATTTTACTTCTCGAACTGGTAAATGGTACCAAATGCGTGAATAACTTCTTCCAAAACGAGGGGTCCACTCCCAAAGTCTTTTTCTTGACTAGGGTAAAGTTGCAGTTGGCATTGGGATCGAGTTCGGTTTTTTCGGAACTGCCAGCTGGAGATAATAATAAATTATGTTATACAATTAGAGTGTTGGTTTTTGGGTTTAATAGAAAAATCATTGTTAATCATTAATTAAACATCTCATAAACATAGTTAATATAAATGGGCTTTTCAATATAATAAACATTATACCTATTTAATTTATTTTCACATTCTATAAGACCTTTTATTTAGTACTTATGGAACAAGTTAAATTTATGTAAATCATTTTATTATTGTTAGCTATTGTTGGCAATAATTAGACACCTTTTTTATAAGAAATTGTAATAAGTACTTATTTCATTGGAACGCGTTTATGTGGAGCAAGTTAAATTTATGTAAGCCATTCTATTATTATTAGCTATTACAGGCAATAATTAGCAACCTTTTTAATTTATTTACACATCTTCAATAGGAGCTTTTAAATTTGTTTATTTCTCACCAATTACGAAGGCCACTAATGTTAATAGTACCGCACTAATAATGCTAATTCGACCCAACTGCGAGATCATGGTTATTCGAAGAGATCTCCCTTGGGGCTTCTGACCGATTGAGTGAGTGAGTAGTTGAGAAGTTCCAATGCGTGCGATGACCGTTCCGATACGATCCGAACCGATCTGATTTCTACCGTTATAGATTTGCTCTCCGGCGGACAGCGAGCTGCTGATCTGACCAGCCCAATGGTGCGTGCCCAACTAACTGGCAAACGAAAAAAAACTCCGGCTGACGATCGTCGAGCGGTACGAGTTCGACTTTCGGAATTGTAGAGCGTGGCAACGGCGACCTCATGTCTGCTCTCTTCCCATTCTCTTTCCTTAAAGATCGCGTTAATTATTGGGGAGCAGCGCCAGCAGCAAAAGTGTTAATTCCTAATGACGATCGTCCACCAAGATGGAAATGACTAATAACGTATGAACTTGAAAAAAAATAAATAAAAAAATATTGTCTGTGGTAATTAACAGGTTTATTTATAAGAAAACAAAAATTATAATTATAATAAAATGGTTAAAAAAGTTTACAAATCATTCTATATTATTTGTATTACAAGCACAAGCAAAAATACTGTTAATTTTTGTTGCCATATTTTAACTTAAATTTGTTCACAAATCAATTAGCCTTATTTGATTTTTGTGTTTTATAAAAATTCTCCAAAATAACAAAACAATCGTAAACTAAACCTTTTTTAGTTTTAATTCCTCCTGGAGATAATTAACCACCCCCGGCACATGTTTCAGTTATTTGTCGAGTAAAAAACACATAAAACGTTAACCGCTTCACCCTTTCTAACCCAGATAACCCAGTTAATTACCCCATTAAGTTGACCTGCTGTACAATCAAAAAGGAAGAAAAAAGGCGCGTCGTAATGATTTTGGTTTTTCAAATCCTGGGGCAGCATTTTTATGGCTGTCAGTCAGCAAATGATTATCGCAGATCCCGAAAATGTTCAGTCCTATCGGCTAATTGCCTGGCCCTAATCACATTCGAAACTCGCTTAATTAAGCAGCCCCGAGTGCATAATTCATTAAACCAAACTCAAATGAGGCGACAAATTTTCACTCACTTAGCAAGTCAATTTTTGGGTTGCCAAAGAAACTGGGAAAATTGGAGGCGTTCGGCGGGGGGCGTGGCAGTTCCTGGTTTTTCACCTGAGCCACATGAAAACGTTTTAATTATGCAAATTTGGGCGAGCCTTGTTGATTACAAAATCCGCAGAAGGGAAACGAAACTCAAACCCTTGGCGAAGGTATGCACCTTAAATTGGCAAAAAGACCTCCAGGCATCAATCAATATGCAAACTGAACTGAGGTGCAGGACTTTCCCCCTCGATGCCAATAAATTGGCCAACCACCAATTAGATGATGGAAATTAATTGGCACTGCCTCCCGGCTAACTCAAATGGAAAACGAATGTGGAGTCGTAACATTATGGCTGGAGTGGAAATCAAATTAAGGATTCCCTTAACAAACAAATTTACAGCACTTTTATTTAAAATTTTTGTCATGTGTCGGGTTCAATACTTAATTGAATTATAAAATCATTACATTGAATACCATGAATCTCAAAATAAAATTATTTTAATTAATTGGAAAATATTAAATTTAAAATGTGTCCCATTTGTTGTTTGAGTTTGAAATGGGTTAAATATTTCAAATTATGTAAAACAATTAAATTTACTATATATTTTTTTCAGTTTTTAATTTGTTATTTGCAATTATTGAATTTAAATTCCTATAACTATACGGAATATATTTCAAAATTTTAAATGTTACTTTCTAGTTCCTTTTACACTCCAGCTATAACGTTTTCACTTTTAGAATGTTAAAAAAGTTTTAAAATATTTAACAATCACAAGCCATTTCCTAAATAAGCAAACGCTTCTCATCCACCGCAATAATTCCTTTCCACTTTTCCATCACTTCACCGCTCAAAGTTTCTGTGGGGGAAAAGTTTTCTGGCCAAAAACAGAAAAACTGTAAATCCACAAATAACATTTTTAACCATAACAAAGTACGGCGAGATTTTGAGAATAAATCTTTTGACGCCGCTTTTGGTTTACTCAGGCATATCCCCAAAAACGCTTATTATGTGGTTCCCAGTTCAAAGGGGGCAGAAAACTAGAATGGGGGATGTTTTGTCTTAAGGACTTTTTAGTTTTCGACTCTCTACGACGATGACTGCAACTTTTTCTATTGACTTAATGCAGTTGGCAAGTGCAGTCAAGGTTGAACTCGGACACGAAAACTTTAAGATTAACTGCAGGAAAAGTCAGGTTTCGGGGTGCCATTTTCAAATTAAATGCCCAACAAAGTTAGTTTTTATACACAACTCATAGGATTTATTTACTACACACACACAACAAATAATTTAAGTTTTTTCCAAATCTCCATGTACTTTGAAGCTTTAAATTTTCGTAGTTAAGAACTTTGATGGATCGAAATGCCATTAAGAGGCATTCTTGGCATCTTGGCCACTGCCGGTTCCTTTTTTGCATTGGGCGCCTATTATCAACACATCGATGTGATGCGAAATATACGACGATTGGAGCAACGCAACCCACATGCCTATTTCATCCGAAGGAAACTCTACGGATTGGTAAGGAAATATATATAAGCTAGGTATTATATTCATACTAAAAATCCTTTGTTTAAGGATATCAGATTTTAAATTAATATTTTTCAGTAGCACTAAAATAATGCCTCAACTCTTATAAAAATATCTTCTTAAGACTCTTAATAAGTAAAAGTACATTTTGTTAGATGTATGTATATACAGTTTGAATGGATCTCATAAACTTGTTATTTCAAATTTGATTCTTCAAATGCTGCTCCTTCCTTAATAAACATCAATTTTTGTTAAGTAATTATATTTCATATAAGTACTAAAATAAAATAAGAATAGATCTCATACACTTTTTATTTTATATTTAATTTTAGGAACACGACTTCTTACTATATTTTAGTGTTAAGCTTTTATTTACTTGGGAAAATATATTATTAATTTAATTTAATTCGGCTGCAATGTAAGTATAATATACATCCGAACTAGAAATTTAGCTATAAATTATCCTTAGGCCTTAAGCTGAGCTTAGGAAAATAAATTATTAAACATAATATATATTTTTTAGCTGGAAATCTAAGAATATATCTCATACACTTTTTATTTTATATTTGATTTTACAAATACTACTCTATACCTTATCTTAATGATAGTATTATTAAAATATTATATAATAAAATCCCTTTTTTTTAGCTCGGAATCTTCACTGTGAGAGCCGACAGTAAGGAATTCACTGTTGAACCCGACGACTGTCACAAGTTGGGCGGTATAATGAAGTATGGCTTCCCTAGCACAAATGACATTAGTCTTAATGAAACCTTCGACTTTGTGACCTCGTTCGATCGTCAAAACTCGGCCGTGCAGTGGATGTGTGAGAGGGTGGATATATCGAATCGGATGAGCTTTGGGGATCCCTCATCTTTGACGACAATTGGAGCTTTTAGCCAGTCGGAGGCATCCAGAATATTTTTCTTATCAAATATAAAACCTTTTTTGAAAAGAGGATTTAATCTTACCGTTTGGAATCGATTGCTTCAGTATGTCACTGACATGAGTCAGAAACATGGAACCGTATATGCTTACACCGGATCCATTTATTTACCCCGTGAGATGAAGTCAAATAGTTGGTTTGTGGAGTTCCAAACAGAGGGGAGAACAATGGTGGCGGTGCCGACGCATTTCTTCAAGGTCCTGGTCATTGATCCTAAATTCGAGGGCGATGCCACGCCCTACGCGGAGGCGTATGTGATGCCCAACACTCCATTAAACAATAATGTTGACCTGAAGACCCTCCTCAGCGATATCCGGGATATAGAAAATGTCACAGGTTTACGCTTTTTCGAGGGACTTGATCGCAACTTTATCAACACCCAAATAACCAGTTCTATAGGCAATTCAGTAATAACCCCAGTAAATTGTCCAGTATGCAGTACAATAGTCAATCTTCCGACCAAGTAATATAAAATAAATAAATGTTTTGATACGTAGCCCATTGTGTCTTTTAAACTAAATTATTGCATTTTATATTATTGCGTTTTATTGAAAAGAAAATAATGTTAGCCTTGAAGTACAATTCACAATTTTATGTTTAGGTCCACAGGTTGATTTATTTATATGGACAGAAAATGGCATTTCCTGGGATTGGGTTTCGTCCTGGGAATGACTGCATTATGTGCTTCCTTCGTGGGTGGAATGTATTTCCAGCACAAGGATGCCAAAAGGCGATTGCAGGAAATAATACAAAAGGATCCCTATGCCTACTATGTCGGCCCCAAAATTTATGAAGTGGTAAGCAAAAACAACCCCCAAACACGTATTTCACACTCAATTTAAATATAATTTGCTTTGGTTTTCATATATTGCGGTCTTTAGAGATTTAAGTATTATAAGGTTATTCAGACGAAATTTTATTATCTAAAAATTTAAATAAAATTTAAACCATGGTAATCTTATATATAATGTATTTAAAAAAATAGCACTCGTTTAAAATCTAATATTTTCGGCATTCATTCAACTATTTTAATTTGAAATCATGGAATATAATGCGGATAGCATTTAATATTATTATTTCATATTTTATGATGTTGGTTTTAGTTTATTCTTTATGTATTTATATTATTCCACATTTTTATTATTGTATCTTTTTTTAATATATTTAAAGTTTTGTTTCTTTGAGAACCAAGCTAATGCCGATCACCGAATGAGCCAAATCATGAAGTACGGATTTCCGGGTCTGGATGATTTACGACTTTATAGTGACTTTGTGCTATCCTACGATCGCCGAAATCGAGTGGCCCATTGGGTATGTGAGCATCTCCAGCTGGACAACATCCACTCAAATCGAGGTGGACGTGGGCGGAATCCCTATCAACCAGATATGAGTGTGCCCTCTAACTTTCGATCAGAGTTGACCGACTATCGGAGATCGGGATTCGATCGTGGGCACTTGGCAGCTGCCGGAAATCATCATTTGCAACAGAATCACTGCCAGGATACTTTTTTCCTAACGAATATAGCACCCCAGATTGGACAGGGTTTCAATCGCGGGGCTTGGAACAATCTGGAGAGATATGTTCGCAATCTGGTCCAACGATTTGGTTCGGTTTACGTTTGCACAGGTCCTCTTTATAAACCCAAACAAAGATCAGGTGGCAAATTGGCCGTGGAGTATGAAATGATTGGACAGAATATGGTTGCAGTGCCAACGCACTTTTTCAAGGTCATTATGGTGGAATCAACACTCCAACTTGGAAAACCCTATATGGAGGGCTATGTTCTACCTAATGCTGCAATACCCGATAATCTGCCACTTCGATCATTCCTCTGCGATATCCGGGAAATTGAGCACTACGCGGGTCTTAAGTTCTTTGATGGATTGAGGAGAAGTGCTATTTTTGGAAGTAATTATCCCAGCGAATCGCAGGTGTTTCGGGAATTTGGTTGAATTTAAAATTCTATTTTTATAACAAAATTTGACAAATTTAAAAAATATTTCAATCACTAGTAAATCAAGTAATAGACAAGAAAAAAATAGACAAAAAAAATGTTTTAAATTATTTGAAAACTAAATAAAAACCAAAGGACAGAAGCTTCTTTCTTGTTATTGTCTAAGTCTAAACCTTTCTGTAAAAAAAACCAATCACATTTTTTTAAGCCTTTTTTTTATTCACTCTTTTTTTTTTTAAATAGTAGAGTGTATTCTGGCTGCTTCAAAGGCTTTGAATAGTCCTTAAGATCCAAGGCTTGAGCTCAGCCACATTAGCATAGACACCAGGGCGAAAGGGATTAGCACAGATAAGTCCCCCAAAGGAGACAAGGCCGACCAGTTTGCCACTGGATACTAAAGGACCTCCTGAGTCCCCGCCGCAGGAATCTTTTCCCAAAGCAGCGGCACAAATCATGTCCTTGGAAACTCGTCCGAAGTGGGATTTTTGGCAGGCTTTCTGATTCACAATAGCCACTGTGGTCCCAAGTAGAAGCTCAGAACCCCCCTTGAATAATCCGATCTTTCCCCATCCAGAAACTGAGACTGAAGATCCTAGTCGCGGAGAACTATCGGCCAGTGGGATGGAACTCACACCAACTCCCATTTGAAGACTGCATTGAAGTTGGATCACTGCTATGTCATTGGAGTATTGAAAAGGCTGACCATATTTGTCATGTTTTAGGACACGCAATGCCTTCACCACTTGACCTCCGATTATAGAACTCGATGAGCCCACTCTTACGGAGTAAAGAGAAGGCGATGGGTCTCTGACACAGTGAGCTGCTGTCAAAACTACTGTCTCACTATAGATGACCGCGCCGCAATAATGTTCGTCTTCTTTTAGGAGGGAAGCCTGCCAGGGAACCGATTCAATCGACACCAAGTGACCTCCTACGATGCGTTCCGGAATCCATTTGGAGGATATCAGGGTGGCGCTGGAGATCAGGGTGGCGCTGGAGATCAGGAAAATCCACTGAATGAACATCTCGAACTGGAGTTGAAGGGATTACTGATGAAAAGCTATATCATCCACTCTTTTATACAAGTTATACTTCGGCAAGTTGCATTCCGTCGTTTAAAAATAAACAAAAGGTATGTTAAATGATTTGAAAGTCAGTGAAACTTAGTTAAGAACTTAAAATATTTTTTCAATTAGCTAAGCTTAAACTTAAGTTCTTAAAAAAAGCATCAATTAAATGGAACTGCTTTTTGTCTAGATAAAAAGTAATTTCTAAAGCAAACTTTTTCGAACTTAATATGGCCAAGAAGTTTCTAGATATTCTTTCTATTAACATTCCATTTCACATTTTTAAGTTTTGTAATATTGTACGTTTATTTATAGTATTGCCCCTGGTAAGGAATATTTTCTTACTTGGATTTCCATATTTTAAAGTTGATTTAAAAATGTATTTTATTTTAAACTTGAGCATAATGTATTTAAAACAAATAGAAAAATATTTTATTTTCCACATTCAGTCAATGTTAAATCATTTAATTAATGTAATATTCATTCTAATAGTGTAAAGTGTATTTTTAAATTGAGTAAATTTATGTAGTAGGCTTCTTATCAAAAACTCAGACTCGTGTAAAAATTATAATTGATGTTTGTTAAGTAACAACTTTAGACCAAATTTTTGTAACTCCAAAATACGTCCATGGACGAATGGCGAGGTCATCAGTGGGTTTTGTGTGCTCTGGCGGGAATAATCGGATTTGTATGCGGGGCCCTTGTTCAGCAAGAGGCGTCCATATGGCTACTTTTCCAGCATATTCGAAGGGATCCTTATGTTTACCATCATCGTCATAAGTTGTATCCCATGGTAATTGTTGATATTACGATTAAATGTATATGTAGATATTTCTTATATTTTTAAAAGCTCTGCACCTTTAGGAAACCCGATTTTGAAACCCGATTATGGAAGGATTCCACTTCCTTGGCTGGCAAATTGAGAGAGTTGATAGTATCACCTATGTTTGATTTTGTTAGCGCTGCTCTGATGCTTAAAACGGATTCAGTCACTTCAACTGATCTGCTGGACTTAGTAAAATACGGACTGCCCAGCATAGAGAACTTGTATGTCCACAAGGACTACATTGTTGCGCAGGATATGTGCACCAATGCCCCCAAATGGATTTGTGAGCATATCCGGGGGGATTACAAAAAAATTGGGTCCGACGAGGGCGGCTATAGCACTTTGAATCTCCGCTATAATGACGTCTATGTACTGAGCTGCGGTGCGACGAAGATCTGTAAGGCTTTCAAGGGGCGTTTATGGAACGACCTGGAGAAATATGTGTCCACAAAGGCTCAGGAATTTGGCTCAGTGTATACGTACACTGGACCGATTTACATGCCTTCCTGTCATGAGAATGGCAAATGGTCCATGAAATATGAGGTGTTCGATTGGACTCCAATGCCCGTTCCCTCGCATTATTTCAAGGTCCTGATCGTGGAGTCCCGTGTTCCTGTGCTGTATTCTTTTGTGGAGGGTTATATTATCAAAAACAGTCGTTTGGTGGGTGGCAAGTTAAGTGATCACCGGGCAAAAATTGACGATATTGAACGCTTTACGGGTCTGCAATTTAATAATGAAAAGAAACAAGGGGGTTTGAAAATGTTTGAGTTATTAAAATCCAAAATATATTAATAAGGAAATATGTGAAGTATTTCAAATTCCTTGATTTCAGATTTCTTTTAACTAACTTATTTATATTATTTGCTTTTGTGACGTCACTTCATTGTGGTAAGTAACCTTCTCAACATACACCACTTGCAACTGTTAGCTAACAGCCGCGCTGTTAACATTCCTAACATAGCTATCGATTGACCGATAGCAACCGTGCCGCTCGCTGACAGTGTTGGAAAACAGCGCTGTTTACGTGGCAGCAGAAAGAGCAAAAAAATCGAATTGGGGAACTGACGTGGAAGTTCGTTTAGCTCGAAATTATTTTTGTTTTTCAACCAGCGACTCGTGCGCCGCGGCCATCGAGAGTTGTGGTCAACACCGAGTGGCCCAAAGCGAGGAGTTAGTGGTCAGGAATCCGGCCGAGCAGTACCCGTAATTGCCAAATTGCAGTGGCGAACTTTGAGCCAACCTGTGTTTTCTCTCCGATTCGCGTGAAAGTTGTTTGGTGATTTAGCTGTTTAGCCCTTACTTTGTTATTACGGGTGATTAATACGGCCAAGAAATGAATCCCAATATGTACGGGGCACCGCCCACGCAGTTCCAGCAGCAACAGCCTCAGTTTGGGGCTCCTCCGCCGATGTCCGGATGTTGGCCACCACCACAGCAGCAGCAACAGCAACAACAACAACAGCAGCAAGCACCACAACAACAACAACTGCCTCCGCCGCAGCAGCAACAACAACCACAGTATGGAGCACCACCACCAACATCATCAGCGGCACCACAGTCTTACCTCAATGGCAACTACCAACAGCAGGTGAATCATCTACATAGTGCTCAAGTTCAGGATTTAGACTAGGATTTGATGATAGTACCCGTAATCCAAGCAATTTTTTATGAAATTCTCAATGCTATCATATTAATTATAGTAGACTTATTCTGATGGAAACATATAGCTATAATATATATAGCATAAGGACTAGATTTTTCTTAAAATCCACAATCTAATAATTTTGTTTATACGATCAAAAAAGCTACATTCTTATATCTTACGATCCATTGCTTCTGTTTTGATTGAATTCTATATAAAAAGATTTCGTATTTCTTATAAACATTTAAATTATATTTGGTATAAATAGTTTACAATATTTTTAAAACTGACTGTTAGAAATTTAGATTTCCAATAACTGCTCCACTTGACCTTTTAATAAAAATACTTGAACCCAATTGGCATGTTGTGCAAAGTGTGGCTTCTATAAAAAGGAATCGTCAAGAGAGCTTCCTACAGAACACCTTTTAAGCTAAGACAAGAAAAATTATAACAATTTCGCCTGATAAGCATTCAATACTTCATTTACTAAAAGAGGTCATGCGTGATTTCATAATAGAAGAGTGGAAGCTGAGTTAGTTGATAAGAGAAGCCCATTGAAATTACTTAAAACAAATCTCTTTTTCAGTTGGCCACGTCAATGGGCGGTTTGAGTGTGGGTGGAGGAGGTGGCGTCAATCCCCTGAAGCCACCACTCCCACAAGGAGCTCCCCCCACTGCTGCTGCTGCTGCTGGTGGACCTCCGCCAACCGGTTTCAATCAGTTCAACGCTAATGCGGCACCACCTCCGACCAACAACAACAATGCTGCATTCGGCGCCCCACCGCCGGTTAGTACTGGTGGCTATGTCAACGGAGCACTTCCGCCCAGCAGCACACCACAAAGCGTGGCCAGTGGGATCAATCAGATGAGCTTGAACAGCGCCAGTTTGGCGGGATTGCCGCATATGCCGCCTCCGAAAACTGCAACGCCCGGTCAGCCTCCGGTGCCGGGAGCAGGTTCTTCAGCTCAGCCACCTCTGCCCGGGCAACCACCACTTCCCGGTCAGATTCCCACATCCCAGACTGCTGCCGGTCCCTTTGGAGTGCCCAGTTCACGACCGGGACAACCCCAGCTTCCCCCTGGATCGGCCCCGCCCACTTACACGCAACCTGGACTGCCGTCCCAGCAGCAGCAGCAGCAGCAGCAAGGAATTCCGCCACTGCAGCAACCGGGTTTACCACCACAGCAGTCGGGATTTCCCCCACAGCAGCCTGGTTTTCCACCGCAAACGCAACCGGGAGCTGCTTATGGAGCACCCCAAGCAGGCGGCTATCCAGGTGGCTACCCAGGACAGGCTACCGGCGGAGGCTTCCCAGGAGCACCACCACCACCACTGCATCCAGGACAGCAGGCAGCAGCAGCAGCAGCTCCGCCACAATTCGGGGCCCCACAAGCGGGCTATCCAGGTCAGCAGCAGGGCTATCCTCCGCAGCCGGGCCAACAGCCCATGCCAGGATATCCACCACAGCCGGGACAGCAGGCCGGAGCGCCAGGCTATCCACCGCAGCCAGGTGGCGGCTTTCCAGGTCAGCCAGGACGTCCTGGCTTTAATGTGAGTATAATGTCGGTTTTAAAAGGTTTTCCAACTAATTAATCTTTGATTTCTTTTAGCAACCTCCAATGCCAGGGGCAGGTAACATGTATCAGCAGGCACCGCAGCCACGTCGCCTGGATCCCGACCAGATGCCCAATCCCATCCAGGTGATGGTTGAGAACCAACGTCTGGCTGGCGGACCCTTTGTAACCAATCAGCCTGGTTTGCTGCCTCCATTGGTGACCACCAAATTCGTGGTCCATGACCAGGGCAACTCTTCGCCGCGCTTCCTGCGCGCTTCGCTCTACTCCATCCCCAATACCGGAGATCTTCTCAAGACCACGGCGCTGCCCTTCACGCTGAACATCTCTCCTTTGGCCAGGACTGCTGAGGGCGAAATGGAGCCACCGATCGTGAACTTCGGCGACATGGGACCCATCCGTTGCAACAGATGTAAGGCTTACATGTCGCCCAACATGCAGTTCGTGGATGCTGGCCGGCGGTTCCAGTGCCTCATGTGCAAGGTGACCTCGGAGGGTGAGTATTTATAAAGGGAAAGCGTCGGAAAGGATCACATTGTATATATATATATATACCTTGCAGTTCATCCGGACTACTACCAGCATCTGGATCACACTGGACAGCGAGTGGACAAGCATGAGCGACCTGAGCTGCTGCTGGGCACCTACGAATTCCTGGCCACAAAGGACTACTGCCGGGTAAGCATAAAAATACAAATGAAGGAATTAAGCTAAATTGATGTATTATATATACAAAAAAATGTTTTAGAATTAAAACAAATATATAATATGATATATTAAATACCACATTCAGAAATTTGAAATAAGTAAAGTACTAGGAAGTAATTTCTTAAAGAAAAAAATGTTTGTTGCTTTTAAAAATAGTTTTTCCAAAAAATATGGTCAACATATGGCCTATATTTTTGTTTACGCCGTATATATCTGCATAATGTCAATTCTTTTATGTATTTTTTCATTCTTTATTGTTGGAACATTTATTTTTAGAGAAACCTAAGTTTCGTACACATTTCAAGCCCCCGTATTTTCTTTCCACACCCACAGAACAACACGCCCCCGGAGGTTCCCGCCTTCATTTTCATCATCGACGTCTCGTACAACACAGTGAAGTCGGGTCTGGTTCATCTGCTTTGTGGCCAAATCAAGAATATACTCAAGCATTTGCCTGTGGACCAGGGTCAGGATAAATCCAAAGTGCGTGTGGGTTTCATCACGTACAACAGCACCGTGCATTTCTACAACATCAAGAGCAGTCTGGCCCAGCCGCAAATGATGGTGGTGGGCGATGTGCAGGAGATGTTCATGCCCCTGCTCGATGGATTCCTGTGCCATCCGGAAGAGTCGGCAGCTGTAATCGATGCTCTGATGGAGGAGATACCTCGCATGTTTGCCGATACCAAGGAAACGGAGACGATTCTGTATCCAGCCATTCAGGCTGGCTTGGAAGCTCTCAAGGCATCGAATGCAGCTGGAAAGCTGCTGGTGTTCAACTCCACGCTGCCCATTGCTGAGGCACCGGGCAAACTGAAGAACCGCGACGACCGCAAACTTCTGGGCACGGATAAGGAGAAGACCGTACTCACACCGCAGACCACGGTCTACAATCAATTGGGCCAGGAGTGCGTCCAGCAGGGCTGCTCAGTGGATTTGTTCGTGTTCAACAATGCCTACATTGACTTGGCCACCATTGGACAGGTCGCCCGGTTGACTGGTGGCGAGGTCTTCAAGTACACCTACTTCCAGGCGGACGTGGATGGCAAGCGACTGATCGAGGATATCATTAAGAACGTATCGCGACCGATTGCCTTCGATGCGGTGATGCGTGTGCGCACATCGGCGGGCATTCGACCCACCGAGTTCTTTGGCCACTTCTTCATGTCCAACACAACGGATGTGGAGCTGGCTAGCATTGGTAAGTAATCTGAGGCTCTGATTTAAATTGAAGCACATCATTTAAATTGATTTCCTTATGTGCTACAGATGCCAGCAAGTCGGTGAGCATTGAGATCAAGCACGACGACAAGCTGCCGCCGGAGGAGAATGTGTACCTTCAGGTGGCCCTGTTGTATACCTCGTGCAGCGGACAACGGCGTCTGCGTGTCCTGAACCTGGCATTGCGGGTGACCACCACCATTGCGGATGTCTTTAAGAGCTGCGACTTGGACGCCATGATGCTGTTCTTCGCCAAACAGGCCTGCTTCAAACTGATGGAGCATTCGCCCAAGCAGGTGAAGGACAACCTGATCCATCGATCGGCCCAGATCCTCGCCTGCTATCGCAAGCACTGCACCTCGCCCACCTCCGCCGGCCAGCTCATCCTACCCGAGTGCCTCAAGCTGTTGCCACTGTACGCCTCGTGTCTGCTCAAAAACGACGCCATTTCCGGTGGATCGGACATGACGCTGGACGATCGATCATATGTCATTCAGTTTATCCTGTCCATGGATCTGAATCAGTCCGTCAGCTATCTGTATCCCCGTTTCATTCCCATCCACAATGTGGTGCCCGAGGAGACGGATCTGCCGACTCCCGTTCGCTGCACGCACGAAAAGACGCAGGAGGATGGCGCCTATATTCTGGAGAACGGAGTGCACCTATTCGTCTGGCTGGGCCAGTCACTCTCGCCAAACTTTGTGCAGGCTGTCTTTGGCGTCCAGGGACTGCAACAGCTTGCCTTGGAGCGGTTCAACATCGTGCCGGAGACGCCGCTGGCCAAGCGCATACACGGCATTCTGGAGCAGATTATGAAGGAGCGATCGCGATACATGAGGGTGTGTATTTTGGTTTGCTTTTCTGTTATGCAATTTGTAACATATTTTATATATATTGACTTCAGATCACCTGGTTGCGGCAAAACGACAAGCTGGAGAGCGTTTTCCGGCACTTCCTCGTCGAGGATCGGGGCACGGATGGCTCGGCCAGCTACGTGGATTTCCTATGTCACATGCACAAGGAGATCAAGGATCTGCTGAGTTAGCACGCCGGCTACTCCGGCACATACAAGCCCGAGCAGCGGTGGGCGGACAGCTATTCCCAAAACAGGGCTCGGATGCGTCGCCTCTCGTCCATGCGCAGTCGCCTCGGCAAGTAAAAGGAGCAAAGGGATCTGGAGCTGGATCTGGATCTGGATCTGGGACAGCTGGATGAACTTCAATTATATTTACATAAAAATACATATACATATATATTAATTATTGGTTATCATTTCGAACGTATCAATTCTTCCATTAATTTTATTAAAGTTTTCACATTTTTGCATTGTTTTACTTTTTATGATATATATATATATATATTTATATGTATTTTTTGAACGCTACTCTTAATATGAAACATTTGTTAAACGAGGCAACTGCGAAATTACTTAGCAAAAATTATTCTCTTATCAATTCCATAAATATGTTTAAATGTTATTACAAATTACTTGCAAATTTCCCACAGTTGAAAACTACTAGATGATTATATTGGTTAGCATAAGAGCACTACTTTGTGTACATCCTTTTTTGGCCTAAATGATGATAATTTAAATGTATTTTTGCAATAACATGTGCGATGCGCCCTGCTTTTTATCATACTTTATGTCATTGAACGATTATTATATTATAACCTAAATGTTTCGTGTGAGAATTATTCGACTTATATGGTATATTGCCCCATTCCTACTATCGAATGGAGAACCAAAACTGTGGCAAACGAAAAAATTTATTGAGAACGAAAAACGGAATAAAAACTCTTAATTAAAAAGCGAAATGAAAAATTGTTTTTCTTTTAAATGGGGAAAAATAAAATAAAACATAAGATAATGTTTCTAGCCAGTATAACTTTTTGTTGTAGTATATTTAAGCAAACTTTCGTTCCCTTTTCATAGTTGTCATTCGTTTACCACTTAAGATTACCCGAAATTTCAATAAAAATTTACAATTTCGCATCATTATATATTTATACTTGTATTATGTTTTATTAGGCCTTTAAATATCTAAGAATTATTATTATTTGACGTGCACATGTTACATTTACATAATTTTTTGTTTTCTGATGTACCTTCTCGTCGTTCTTTATTTTTCTTATAGCAGTTAGAAAAAGGTTTTTCAACTTCAATGTTCCCGAAATTCAATAACAATTTAAATTAAAACATTGCCTAGATTGAATGTCCCTCCGTGTGAATTTGTCTGTCTGTTCGTGTGGGATGTTGCATTACTTATGTTTTAAACTATCTTCGAACTAAGTTAAAAATTGCGGATCTCGAGAAACGTTTGAAACTAATTTTCGTCGCGCAATCAAGTAAATGGGTTGGGCTCGAATATACGTGACAGATAAACACACAATAATAAAGCGGAATTTAAAATATATGTAGGATATTTGACAAAAGACATTTGCACTCAGCTTGCCCAGACTTTTTGCAGAGTTTTTTGTTGGCGCTTACAATTAGTGTTAGATATATAATTACAAAAACAATGCTGCAGCTTAGAATTCTCCATTATAATCAGCTAAACTCTATTTTTGCCGTGGAGCACAACTTACTCATTATGGTTGGAAAACATTTGCATATAAAAATGCTCAATGAGCAGGAAACTAAAAGGGAGAACAATGGAACAGTTGATTGATACTATTGCAGTTTCGTTAAACATATATGTATTTATATAGGCTTTATGGCTGCTTCATCATCTCGCTTAAAAAATATATACTATTGAAACTGATTTTTGGGGTGGTTGCCATTTGAGAAACTCCTATCGCCCGATTCGGTTCCACTCACAGCAAAGTTTCTAAAACAAACGCAGCAAAATGTATTCCAGATGTGGGTTTGGGTGTGTGTGTGTGTGTGTGTGTGTGCTATTGAGAGGAGCGGAGAGGATCAGAGGATCGTCTATTTCGTAAACGCCATGAACACCGCCCACAGGATCTCGTTCGCATTCGGCTTAGCCGCCTCCGTTTCAAAGTCGAGATCCAACAGCTCCCGCACTCGCTTCATGGCCACCTCGTAGTCATCATCATTTAGCGGCGCAAAGGCGTTCTCAATCACATCGCTGGCGTGCGCCAGGAAGATTAGCGCCAGCATCCGCTTGTCCATACGCTGCGGATCATTCACCCACTTGGAGAGCACAGAATCTTGTATCTAAAATAACAAATTGGTTAGCAAAATTCCTTAAATTCCCAAGGGACATCGAATCTCACCTTCTTAACCAGACGACATTTGACAACATTATCGCTCAGCGGATGTGTCGTCATATCGAAGAGTAGAAAATTTTGCTTTTCCGTTGTGAGCACACCCTTCTCCACCAGATTCTTGGCCAGACGTTCGCGTACATTTTTCAGCTGGTAGCGCAATTTCAACGGATTCCAAGTTTCACCTGCCACAAACAATCAGTAATTATTATATGTAAATCGTAAATCATTGGCAAAATTGAGGACAACTAAATACAAACCACTGAGATATTCAATCCAGCTCTGCACCGTCTCTGGGGGATCTGTTTCTTTAATGTGTTTAAGTGCCTCATCAAGTAGAACATCGCCAGTCTGCTGATCCGATTTTAGAATCAATTTTCTGTAGGGAGAACAAAAATTGTAATTAGTTCAATTCTTCAGAATTGTGCATCTGCATTTGTTTGTTTATATATACCTTGTACATAGGCCACGTCGTCTCATGCCAGACTTCTCGATCATCACGCGACCTCGCAATCCAAGTTCTATGAGAATGCATCCGCGCAAACCGCTTGATATGCAGTCGTTCCAGAAAGATGTGTAGCCCTGAATATAATTAGAAATTGCATTAGATCTGGATTATGTGGATCTGTTCAGAGATCTTTAATTGAAAACCTGTGGCAAAATCCACAGGCAACACCCACAGTTGAACAATATTATAATTTTTTAAGTTATATTTTTTATATTTATACCCTTGCAGAGGGTATTATAATTTCAGTCAGAAGTTTGCAACGCAGTGAAGGAGACGTTTCCGACCCTATAAAGTATATATATTCTTGATCAGCATCACTAGTAGAGTTGATCTAGCCATGTCCGTCTGTCCGTCTGTCCGTCCGTCTGTCCGTCCGTCTGTCCGTCTGTCCGTCTGTCCGTCTGTCCGTCCGTTTATATGCAAACTAGTCTCTCAGTTTTAAAGCTATCTGCATGAAACTTTCCCAAAAGTTGTCTTTCTATTGCAGGTAGTATATAAGTCGGAACGAGCCGGATCGGACGACTATAGCATATAGCTCCCATAGGAACAATCGGAAAAATAAATGAAAAAAATTATAACTTTGCTGTTTTTTAATTTTTTGTTTAGTTCTTCGACATATAGTAATGGTTAAATATTTCCGATTTACGGTTTAAATTTCATCAAAATCGGTCGACTATAGCATATAGCTCCCATAGGAACAATCGGAAAAATAAATGAAAAAAAATTATAACTTTTCTGTTTTTTAATTTTTTGTTTCGTTCTTCGAGATATAGTAATGGTTAAATATTTCAGAATTATGTTTTAAATTTCATCAAAATCGGACGACTATAGCATATAGCTCCCATAGGAACAATCGGAAAAATAAATGAAAAAAAATTATAACTTTTCTGTTTTTTAATTTTTTGTTTAGTTCTTCGACATATAGCAATGTTTAATTATTTCAGAATTATGTTTTAAATTTTATCAAAATCGGACGTCTATAGCATATAGCTCCCATAGAAATAATAAAAATATATAAAATAACTATCTAATAATTGAGCTGCAAATCATCATAGTTTCAATGTTTTTCAGCATATACTCAAGTAAATCATAATTTAAATGTTTTCAAAAGTATTTAATTCATGCAATAGCTGCAAGGGTATATGAACTTCGGCTTGCCGAAGTTTGCTTTCTTTCTTGTTTTATTTTTAGACCTATGTATGTTTAGTTCCCATGGATCAAGGTTTCAAAATTTCAAACAAATGAAAAAGTGTTGGCCTTGTCACACGTGTTAAGAGTTAAAAAAAATGAATGATTAATATGTTGCCAAGGTGGTTAGGCTCCCAGACGGCAATGTTCAGCTGTTAAAACATTAAACACTTGAGTTTGCTTAGGCCTTACTAATAAAAACCATGTCTTTAAAAGACATTGTAAAGTAGAACGACATAAAGAAATTTTTTAAAAGCCTAACAATTAAAATAATATCTTTATTATATTATTTTAATATTTTATTTCAAAACGGTTGTACAAGACTATATATCACATGGATATAGTTCATTGTTACCAAGGAAAATAAAATATACGTAAAATAATATTGGATTAAAAAAATGATCACGACAAAGATCAATAACAAATAGGTAATTAAAAGAAAAAAAAACCCACCCAAGACTCTTATAAAAGTGAATCATTTGCAATAAAAAAAAAATGTTGATTATCAGCAACATTTAGTGATATTAAATGTAGTATAGCAATATCAACTAAAATGTATAAATTCTAAAAAGGAATGACGGTTTGCTGATAAGACAGTTCCTAAAAATAAAAGCGGATGAATGCAAAGCGGAAAGTGGAATTACTTTGGTAGTATTTCCTCAAACAATTAACCAAATGGATGAAATGTTTTTGATAAGAGCACAAAGAAGAAGCAAGTGAAACACAAGCGAGCAGCAACAAGCACACGTCCCGCTGTTTCCCTCTCGTTTTCCCCTTTGGGGGTGGGGTGGGCACACAAAACCCCACTGCGGGCAAAGTAATGAAAACAAATAGACGTGGTGGTGTCACCCACAAACATGCTACAAATATACATAGCTCACTATATGCGGACAGCAATTGAGCGATAAAGCTCGGAGGCAAGTAAAATACAAAAAGCGAATTTAACAAAGAATATGGGAATCCGCCGGTTCGCTATAATGGGGCATACGTATGGCGTCGATTGGCCTTTACGGACCGCATCCCAAAAATATGTGCCGATTTATAAATATTACAATCGTATGCAAATTAACCACTTATTGGAAAACTCGTTTGATGGAATGCTCTCAGAGCTTCGAGACGACGTCGCTTGATTGAAGTTTTTAAAGAGCATTGGTTTTTTCGGAAATGTTAAGCCAACAGTTAAATTTGTACGCATGTTTTGGTAGATTATCTAATCTAAGAAATATTTTGTAGTGCTATCTTTTCAACAACTACACAAGTAACCAAGTATTCCAAGAAAATTTTCCAATAAAAAGTTTATAGCTATACTTGGAATAATATGTATTTCATAGATTTTCTAAATCCAACAATCATAATACAAGTAATTTTAGGGTAATGTCTAGCAAGTTATGTATATTATACTTTTATGGAAATTTTTTCATTTAACCAGTTATAAAATTTTTTAATTTACAAAGGGGCTGCAGTCTGGTAGCACGTTTTAGGTTTATAAAGGTTAGAAAGAACGCCTGATAAGGCCGTCAAAAAAGACGATTCGTTTATTATTTACGATAGCAACAATAGTTGGTTGGAAAATGGTGTTGGCACTCTCGCTAATTGTGCATTAGTCACCAGTCTGGTCAAAAGATTTTATAGTGTATTGCTCAACAAACTGGAAAATGTGAGTTGAAGTTGGTAAGGCATGGGTGGCCTTTAATTCAACAAATTAAATACAGGGGTTTATAATTAAAATTACCAGGAACTGGAAATTATTATTATTTTTTTTTTTTTTGTCTATGGCGCAGGTCAAGTTTATTTTTAATATTTAATATCTTTTTCCCATGTTTTAAAAATATTCGTATGCTATTAGTTTAAAGTTTAAACCTTATTGATATCATTTAAATTTTCAACAAAAAAAAAACAGCTGATTTCATTTTGTAAACAATTGTGAATTACCCCCTTTCGCGCCCCCCTTCAACTAAGCCCCTGTTTGAAGATGGACCGCGATGCACCGAAAGGCCAAACAAAAGGTTGCGAAAGAGGGTTAACAGACAACTCAGTTTACAGGTAAAAAAGAAGCACTTTGTGTTGTGAAAGAAACTAATTAATTAGTGAATAAGAGATAAGGGACATCCACCCACCTCCTTGTCCTTGAGTCCCAGCAGCAGAACCTCTTCCATGAGCGTGAGCCTGGTCTCCTTGGAATCGCCATCGTCGATGTTGTCCTCTTGGTCCTTTAGGCCATCCATTGCGTCCTGATTGTCATCCGGCGTGTTCGCATTTAGTCCGCCCTCTGCCCCCCCATTTTCCCGGGGTTTCACCGAGCGTCGAACCAATCCGTCGGTGCGATTCATTCCGGAGCTTTGAATGTTTTTGGAGTTTTTGGAGATGTAAAAAGAGCAGCTCTTTTTTTTGCTGCTACTCTTCTTCCTCTTTCTCCGTTTTGTGTGTGTGGCACAATTTGCTGACTCGACGCTGGAGTTGTTTGGGTGTGGGTGTGTGTTTTGGGTGTGCGGGTGTTCGCCTTTTCGAGTGTGTGTGTGTGGGTGTTTTGTGTTTTTGTGTGTTGTTGTTTTCGCTGCCTCTTTTGCGCCCCTCTTTATTTTGTATTCTCTTTTTGCACACACGCACTTTTCACACTCTCTCGCAAAAATGCAGTGGCAGTGGCCCCAAACTGCGTTTCGTTGTTGTTGCGTTGCAAAACTCGACAATTTAACTCACAATTTGATGGCGCGAACTAAATATGCAATCGCATGGCCTTGCATTTACTTCAAATATACGAATGCCTGCGCAAAATAAGCTTTTTTTGTATTATTTGTGTCTTTTGTCGTTGCTTTCGACGTTTCGACGTGACATTTTTCCAGACTCGGTGTTGGAAAACGTCGCGATTGTGCGGAGGTGCTGTTAAGAGCGTAGGAATTTATTGGTAAGTAATTCAAATGTTTTTTAATGTTGCTTAGTTCTTTCTTTATGTCTTTTAATAGTTGTGTTTAATTTTTACCTATTTTATTATAATATTTTTGTTTCTTAGAACTTTACAGCTGTTTTTTTTTGGGCAGTAACGAAAATGGGCAATCGATATTCCAGCAGATATCGATGACAGTGGAGAAACTACATGATTAAAAGTTTGAAAGCTTCTATTGAACAGCAGTACATTTCAATTTGTATTTGTAAATAATTTTAAAACAAATTAAATTGTTTTCAAATGTTTGAGTATTTCACTCGATACTTATCACCTATCCAACTATCGCTATCGGTACTGCTGCATGACTCATCTCTAACAAAAAGACAAAACAAAAAGTGCTATTGGTAGATTACTTGGTTAAATTGGACATAAACACTGCCATTTAAACGTTTATAATGTCTTATCTGACCAATTTTAACAATGAGAGTGCCAAACAAATACTTATGGATATTATACGATGTGTCAACCAGCCGGAAAACTCAAAGAAACTCTCTGAAGCAAAGGCATCAGCTGGAAAAGAAATGATTCTGATGATGCAGCACGTAAATATTCATTTAATAACAATAAAGTTATATTATAATTAATGATTTTCAATGTAGGTGTTTCCCTTGGTGATGCAGCTCCAATTGGAGGTCATCAAGGGTCATGGTTTTCCCGGAAACCGCGAAGGATTAGTTCAGTTCTCGCAACTCATTCGGGAAATGGAACGCGACGACATGGAAATTGCACGCCTGCGCAGTCAGATCCGAGCTATTTACCTGCCACCCATAGCTATAAATACCACAAACGATATCCTAATCTAAGCGGGAGGTAAATCCCCAAAACAAGACTGCAATTCTGGCCTGTTTCGGGGCCTACAATTACTTTAATATATTAACTTAGAAGACTTTACTATTAGCTTTTTCTTTAAATTGTTTTTGGTATCTAAACTAAATTCATTATAAAAAAAATCAGAATTTTAAAGTTATAATATGCTTGCTAATTCATAAGTGCTATAAAACAACCTGATGAATTTATAAATCAATAAGTTTTCAACGGACTCTTGCTTTAAATTTTTTTTAGGTAAATTGAAAATAACAAAAATTACAAACAATAATCTGATAAATTCTGAAAACAGAAGTTTTTTCAATAAATATTGTTTACTTACAATTACAATTAGGAATATAATTACAAAAAGAAAAAAACATATTTTCATTATTTAAACATAATGGTATGGTATTTAAACACACGGTATGCATTTAAAAAATAAAACTCGAAAGACATCTTATTACTTTTAACCCGAAACAGGCCCATATAATAGACTTAAGTTTGATGTTCTTATAAAATGCATTTCTTTCGCTTAATTTTTGTGATTTTTGTGGATGTACAAATGTTTTTCTTGTTCTTGCTAACAATAAGTAACATGGCAAAGCTTGCTTTAAACAATTAAGGTTCTGTGCCGGTCGGTCCATCGTCAGCTTTTAGGATCTAGGATATGTCGATCAGTCACGGCGATAAATTAAACAGTTTTCATTTGTACTTATATAATAAGTTCCTTAAGAGCTATACTTTTATGTACACGTCAAGAAGTGAGCTGCTCATCCAGCCTTAATATTATTAACAATTAGGCGAGGGTAACTAGTAACAATGTGGATTCCTAATGCGTGCCGCTGCCATTTGTGGTGCTGACATCGTGGTTATTGCCATTTTCGAGGTCTGTCGCTGTCAGTTTATTTGGATTAGTAGTTCCTATATTGTTTCCATTGAGTTTGTGCTGCAGATGTTGCAGTTGCTGGGCGAGATGTTCATCTTCCGCCTGCGTAATGCTGTCCACATCGATGGACATCGACATGGGCGAATGGGGCGTGAGAGGAGTCACTGGATTGCTGACGCACAGCTCCTCAATTGTCGAGTCGCTGTTAGTTGAGGGCGTCGATGAACGCGATCGCAATGGATACGAATCGTCCAGGGGCAAGGCAAAGCCCTGTGTGATCATCAGATCCCCAATATTCAGTTCGGCATTATCGGCAGGATCAAATAGTTCCACTCCGGGCAGAGGGGTGCCCTCCTTGGCAGCGGAATTCACAGCAGTGGTGGATTTTGGACGCTCCTTGTAGGTCACCACTCGGGCAATCAGCTTCCTCCAGTGGGCCACTAAAATTGATTAGTTTTTAATTATAATGTAATCTTCAGCCTGTTGCTAAAATCATACCCTCTGTTAGATCCTCAAACTTTGCAATGGAGGACTTGGGCCAAGTTATGGGTTCAGTCTGAATGGTGGACTTTACATTGGCCAAGAAGCATTCAACAGCTTGGAATCTAAAAGAATTATAAGGTTATTTTATTAGATCCTTTATCTTAATCTATTAACTTCATAGAATTACTCACCTAAGTGTGAGGAAATCGGTGCGCAGCTCACAAATATCCGCTGGCGAGATGTACTCACTATCCCCATAGTCCACAAAGTACAGATCAATTACCTGCTCCTTGGGATTATACTGATTGGGCATTATGTCCACGATCTCGGCGCGATACCACTTCTCATCGAACTTAAAGACGGCGGCCACAATTTGACCCACATAAGGAGCAGTTAGCACATGTTTCGCCCTATTCTCGGCACTGCTATAGTAGCTGGTCATCTCCTGGACCATGTTGTCCAGTTTCTTGGACTGCGGTCCTATTAGCTGCACCCAGAATTTGGTGGGTGAGGCCACGGCTGAGACGTACACCTCCATGGGTTTGCCCTCGCCCTTGGCGGCCATCAGTTTGTCCCGCGGTTGAGTGTGCGAACTCAAGGATGTCTGCGAGGAGTACAAACTGGAGGAGGCAATGCTATTGGTTGGCGATCGACGGGGTTCGCGACGCTGCTCCACTTCCTCCATGGATCGCAGTAGTTCCTCATCCTCCTCTATCTGATCGTCCAGCAATTTCCGGGCTATGTTCACCTGCTTTTGGTTGCCCACAATTGTGATCTTGGCCTTGCCATTGCGGCCATTTGGATCGATATTCAGCTTGGCCAGCGAACTGCTCCGGATCTCCTGGATGAGTTCGCCGCCACGGCCATTAAGCTTGCTGGCCAATCTCTGGGGAACTTGCAGTTCCAACTTAACCATAGGTGCCCGCTCGATCTCCTTGATCAGCAGGACTCGAGCTGCTTTCACGGCATCGGGTAGGCCGCTAATGTCGCAGAATTTGTGCCCATTGTCTTTGTCTCTGCATGAAAAGTATATTTGTTTATTATTAAAGTTAGGAAATCGTACAAATTCCATGTGGTCGATAAAATTCAAATCCAATTACCGTAATCTTATCTTGGCCTGGGTCTTTTCTTCAATCAATTTGATATTGGAACCACCGCGTCCCATTATTAGGGGCACATGTTCGTTGTCCACGATGATTTTGAGGCACACTTCTTTTTGGGGCTTCTGTGCCGGCGCCTCCTGCCCAGAAATTTGCTGCCGCCTGTCATTTGAGTCCGTTTCCTCATCGTCGTCTCGAGTCTTAAAGTACGCATACAGCATGGCGCCCCCAAGGGAGCAGAGTCCAAGTCCCAGCAGTAATTTGTAGGTGGGCGTGGCACCGAAAGGCGTGTTACGCAACATTTTGGTAAATTGTGTGTTTGTGAGTGGGTGGGGGCGTACGGCTGGGTTTTTAAAGGTTTACCTTAAACTGAAATAGGATAAGAAGTAAAAATAGATTAATAAAAAAATACTATGCTCAAATGTTTCATTTCATTTGCATTATAATCCCAAAATGAAGACAATATTTGATTATAATTCATATAATATTATTCAGATTAAAAAAAAGTAAACACAAATTTTTGAAAATTGGAAAAGTAGTTTGGCGAAGTGTTTTAATTTGTGAAAAAAAAACAACCTTTTACTTTATTAAACTGTATAATTTTTAAATATATTTTATTAATATTGAAATAAGAAATTCAAATAAGGTATTTTTCTATTTAAGTGTTTCAACCAAAAACAGCCCATAAATCAACAGTAAAGAATAATACAGATAATAATAGAACAATTAAAAATAAATAAAAAACATTAAGACTTTTGTGAAGGTCTCTTTAATATGTTAATGACATTGCGTGTGCTTGGAAGAATAAAAATAGAACATATTTAAGACCACTTGATGCCCAGGCGACTTGTACAGACTTTAATGTCATCTAATAGAATCAATAAAAGTCTAGGGGTATGTTATATCGATGTACACTACCCCTTTTCTTATATAATCCCATCACTCGCGAAATAATAATTTTAACAAATAACCGAAGACAGCAAGCGACTGAAATTTGGCACACAACTCAACAATGACTTCATAATTGAAATTTTGTAGGTAAACAGTGTACGGAATAAATAGACAAGTGACGTTATTTGCTCACACTGGACCACATAGTTCAGCAAACTTACAGCGATTTAATGCATTGTCATGTATATTTAGCGCCATTTGAGAACTGCGAATTTTTGTGCCGATTAAAGCAATTTTTCAACAGAACAAATAAATAATTTAGTGTTTTGAAGGAAATTTCATGACTTGTCGAGATCAGAAAGTCATGAAGTACTCGGCCAAAGGAATTCACTTTTAATTATTCCCGTTAACGTAAGAAAATTGCATAACCAAAACAGATAGATATATGTATAAATACAATGATAATTTTTTTATTTGAATACTGAAATTATATCCATAGCAATATTTGTATAGTAATGCATAATTTAAATAAACCAATTTTTTTCTTAACCCACTGTTCGGCATTATTTTTGCATGTTTTATCTTTGTATCTATTATACTACTTGTTGAGCCTCAATAAATCAGAATATTTCCGAGCTTTGCACTGGTTCTTGGACAAGTTAAACGGGTTTATGCGCTCATCGGTGTTATCAATACCGGTTTAAACATTGAAATGCATTTATCTCTAACTGATAAAAACGAGTCCCAACTATTTTTGGTCATGTATAAACAACCAAACAACACAAACAATTTAAACAAGTTAAATTAATTTTTGGCGCTGACCTTGATCGTGAATATTTGTCGACTGTTTATTTAAAGTTTTCACAGTAAGCTTGGGCTTTAGTTTGATTGCAAGAAAGAAAACGCTTAAACTCAATCAAGCGTTTTATTTCAAAGCCACTCGTTGTTTGCATTTCACATTTTCATGTCTCGGTTGTCGTTCGTAAAATCGTACAAATCGTTAACTATATTTTATAGGCGAAAGAAAATAATATTAAACTCTCGCGTGAGGAGCTTGATTTCGCTTCTACATTTCAGGCCAAACTGAGGAAAACTTTTGGAAACAGGCGGCCAAGCAATTACGAGAGAATCCACAGCTGTTTTACGAGATACTACATAGAGCTCTTTTTAAATTATTCTCTCTGTACCTCTCTGTTGTTTACTTTTGCCGGTTGATTTGCAAATAGCGAATTGTGAATTGTGGGGAACTGGTAATTAACAACAGTACTGGCACAAAGACAAATAATGAAATGCAAACAAACGCGTAAATTAGCCAGCGGCCATATGTCTAATGAAATGCAAAAAGAATGGGGGGAACATACACAACGAGAAAACATTAACACAGTGACATTAATTTATGGGCATTTTAATTTGGGAATTTTATAAAAACCCGGAATATTTTTAGATCTTTTTAAACAAATCAATTTGTTTTCTAACAATTTAAGGATAAAAATAATTGGTTCTTTTCATACACCAACTTAAGGGCAATCGAATTATTTGTAGATTCTATTAAAACAAAATAACCTATTTTCAGGATATAATGAATTGTGAAATAAATGTACAAGACATGTTATTTTAAATTTAAGGCACCACGCAACGTTCTTAAAATTTTCGTAAAAATAACTCATACGACACGAAATGCAACAGGTCGTATGAGTGATTTTTTTAACTCAATGCGCAGACCCAAAAACGCATTTCCTTGCAAATAAATTTTATTAGGTAGCTGAAAAAACAACTAGCTCCACTTTCTTTTCTTAAAGATTACGAATATTTTAAACGAATTTAAAATAAATACTGACTATTTTAAATGAAAACGTGTCTAATATCAACTATATTTTTTTTACAGTGTGTAAAGCTTAAAGAGAGCCAAAAGAGCGTAGTGCGCAGAGTGCTAAATTTAGTGGAGTGACATAATAAACCGTTTCTTTTCGTTTAAGTTGTGTTTGGGTTCCCCCACTTGATTTATACCCGATTTCTGAATGGAAAAAAGTAGCTGAATAAATAATAACATTTAAAGCTTGCTTAAAGTCGAGTTCATATTTAATTTTAACCTTATTTTTTTTAATGGTTTTTCTTATGCTCTATATCCGCTGGCGAAAAGCATTCAAAAATAGTGCCAACAATTGTACGATTTCGTTTTTCGAAGGGGTCACGCGGTGAAAATGCCCGAGATGCGTTGAATTTTAGTTGGCAAAGTTTCAAATTTTTTTTTCGCACACGTATTTATTGTCTCGATGGCTAAATAAAGCCAGATCAACAAGAAAAAGCGACGTCACTTTAAGGTATTTAATAATCCACCAAAGCTATTTGTAGAAACCTTCTTTGATCTTTGGTACAAAATATAAAAAACTTGAGTACACACAAATATTTGCATTTTAAATTTGTATGCGCTTCAGGCTTGAAACTTGGGAGTTCTTAATGGAAAACCAGTTTTGGGGGGAGTCTGATAAATCAGAAGTCTCAGATGTAGACACTAAAAAGTTGAAAAGGTCAAGGAATAGCTTAACCCAATATTTTCGAAATAAAGCACTTAACTGATAGTCAAAGTAGTAAATATTAAAAGCCCCCAAAATTCCAACCCCACCCCCCTTCTTACTTACCCACTATATCTATTTTGTTTCGGGTCTGTCTTTTGGTTCTTTCCATTCACAATTGTTTGCCATATATATTTGGTTTATCTTGTCACTTTGTCACTTATTAACCATTCAGTTAAGCCTATAAGTATTGGAAGCACTATTTTCGGGGTTTTAACAATTGCAATTTACGTCAGAAAGCAACAAAAATAATAATGCCGCATAAAAACGTGCGAAGTGGTGTGACCGTAACCGGTTTTTAAAAATAAACTTTTTAAATATACCATAAAAATATTCAAATCGGTAAGTGTTGTGAAACATAAAATGGTAACGGTTATTATTTTCAAATTTAAAGCATCGACAACAATATCTCGTATAATTAATATAGCTTATAGTTTTTACTCACACAGTATCAAACCAATCACAATTACATAATAAAGAAAAACAATTGTGATTGATTTGATAATAGAATATGTATTTAGCAAAAGAATCTTATAAATTTAACAAATTTAGACTCTTTACGACCAAGTTTTATAATTAATTTTTTTTATATTTAGTGATCGTTAAAAGGCGTTTTTGCTTGAAAAAGAAAAAATATTAATACTAATATTAATATACTTTTTTAAAAGTCATCAAATATTTGTTCTATACGTTTTATTTTGTATAACTTTATAAAATGTTTTTTAATATAAATTGTATTTTACGAGGAACTTGAACAATTAAAGACCTCCACAAAGTCGGGGATCTTAGTCATACGAAAGTTTCCTGCGACGTGCTGCGCCGCATGCACATAGAAAAGCTGTTTCACGGACATGTTGGTGAAGGTGGGCTGCGATTGATAAAACCCAGATCCCGGGGAGAAGTAAGCTTCATGGACCAGATTGAGGCTCACTTGGTAAAGTTTCTGGAATTCAATGATTTTGGTGTTGCAGTCTACTTGCATTTCCCCATATATATCCAGATCATCCAATGTCTTCACCGCATTAAAAAAGCAATAGTCAGGGTCCGAAGAAGCCAAGACATCAATAAGTGTCAGAGCGACAAGACTGCCAAGTTGGCTGAACTGAAAAACAAAAAGGTGTTTATAGAAGACTTTGAAAACTCATTTGGAAAACTTGAATTTACCTTGAAAACGTCGTGCGCACGAGTCATAAAGAAAGGTTCGCTCAAAACGGTGTAGGAAAATATAATTGTGTTGAGATAACCTACACCAATTATTTGTTTTAAAGGGGTCGGATCTGCCGACACTGGATTGTCCAGTTTCTCCAACTCACGACGAGTGTTAAGCTGGCACATCTTCAAGTGAATGATGGTGAAGTCGTCATCGCTCTCCAAGTCAAGATCCGCGTAGTAATCTGTTACAAAGCGGCGGTGATCCTTATCCTTTGGCATATTTCCCACATTTGTGGAAATCTCGCTAAGAATCTGCTTGGCAGCCAATATATTGGGAGATGGTAAGCCGAGTCGATTTGCTTCCACTCTCTTTATAATTGGCTTGATGATCGCTTCAACCAATTTTGGAACCTGGGATTGGTACTCCCCAAGTTCCTTCGCACTCAACACTTCTTCTTCATACAGCAGATTGGTGGCAAACTCCATTGTGCTTCTTACGATCACATCGCAACGGTAAGGTGAATCTGCATTTACTGTTCTTTTTAAACTCATGAAATCGGTGAACTGTTTCATCAGAAAGACGGCCACTGTCTCCTGATTGTAGTTGCTTATCAGTTGATTGAGCTTAACTAAAGAGTCCACATCAACAATCTGCAACTGGAAGCTCGGTGAAAAATGGCGATCGAAAACGATCTCGAGATATTTTTTTAGGAAAATTCCATGCTGACTTTCCAGCTCCTGAAGAGTATAACGCTTCCTAAGCGTTCTATTCTCATTCTGATCATTTAAAGTTTTTGCGAGTTTTTCCAAATCTTCACTTAAGAAGTTAGCTTTACTCCTGTTGAATCCCATTTCAAGCAACCACTCCTCGGCAAATATAATTCCAACCAAAATAGGTTTTTGGATCACCACCGTGTACTTGCTGCGATCTCGAGGATCCACTTTGAGGCTCATCTTTAGGAAGCCATCTTCCATTCCATAGCGACGCAATCGGGCGAGGGTCACTAGCCACTGGAAGCGCTCCTCGGGCCACTGGCTGCCATCAGGCGTATTTTGGGGCCAGGGGAGATTGATGTCCGGCTGAACCAACTCCAAATAGTTCGCCTTCTTGTTCCCCTTTTCGTCGGATTGGCAGGCGTTGTACATTTTGCTTACCAATTCTTCCACACTGCCTGACTCGTGGGCTCGATTCTTAAGATACTCGAACAAAGCATGGTTCTTGCGACGCATATTGTCAAACATCGACGAATAATAATGGTTGTAAGACCTGCCATTAGCATAGTTTTCGAAATCCAGACAAGGATTGGCTGTCTCGTTCATTTGGCGCAACATTCGGTCCATCACTAGTTCATTTGGATTGATGAGCAAAGGCTTCTTTCCAGCCTCTGCAAATATTCCAAGTAGGAGCAAACACCCGAGCCACAAAATTGTTCTTGATCTCCGATCCATGTCCGACAGCAAACTAATGAGCTTTTCGCTATTCGTTCAGCAGCAGAACTTTTGAATCCATTGTCGTTGCTAGAAGCTGATTAGAAAAGGGTCGTACAGAAACAAAACAACAAAAAACAAGAAAGGAAGCAAGCTTCGGCAAGCCGAAGTTCATATACCCTTGCAGCTATTGCAAAAATTAAATATTTTTGAAAACATTAAAATTATGATTAACTATAGCAGCTATATGATATCGTATTCCGATTTCAATAAAATGAAAAGCGTAATTCTGAACTGTCAAATTATCAATAAGACAAGAAGAATTTTGAATAATAAATCATAAAAATTACAAAATAGAAAGGTTACATTTAAAAAAAAAATTAATTTATATATATATTTTTATTGTTTCTATGGAAGCTATCAGGTCGTCCGATTTTGATGAAATTCAAACAGTAATTCTGAAATGTTTAACCATTACTAAATGTCGAAGAACTAAAAAAAAAATTAAAAACAGCAAAGTTATAATTTTTTTTTATTTTTTTCCGATTGTTCCTATGGAAGGTATATGCTTTAGTCGTCCAATCCGTCTCGTAATTAAATTTAAAACAAAATTGTTCTTGACCTACGGTCCATCTCCGACCCATATCTGATGAGCAGTGGATTTGTTGAGTCTATTGTTGCTACCAGAAATCTTAATCTAATTAATTAGGTAATTTAAAAAGTACCGTACAGAAACAAAATCTCAAATTTGATTTCAATCCTCTCTTATCTTTTCCACTTTCAGCCCGAAAAAATTTGTTGGCTAAAAAGCAAACAGAAGCTATGCAAAATATATTAAAAAGAAAACAAATTATGAAGTATAATATTCTTTCGATTATCGCTTACCTACAAAGGAGAAAGGGCGAATTTTTATAGTCCTTTATTTGAATGTAAGTATAAAATGCAATTGAGCAGCTAAAAGCTGGTAGGTCATAAACACTAATGCTACGGGCACATCCCTTTTCTAAGTACAATGAACACTTCTGAGTTTGTTTAAGGCGCGCGCTTTTTGGAACAAATAAACAACTTAATGCATATGGCATGGGCGTACAGGGGGCGGGGCCATGGATGAGTCCTCCGGCCAGCTAGGAAATGTCTCTTAAAGTATTCGGCTTGGTGCCGTCCATGTCGAAGCAGCGACAGTTGCACGACGACACGGGGCACTCTGAGTTTTGCCTGTCAAACGAAAAAATGGGTTAAAATTTAAGCAAAAATATAAAATTACACAGGTACACATGTAGCCAACAAATTCCGCCAACCATTTGAACTTTGTTTATGAAATAATAATAATTTTACTTGAAATCTAAACTCCTTCGAATTTTCTAACTTCGGTTTAATAAGTATTTATAAGTACAAATATAAATTACAATTTTTGGATTATTACCTACTACTACTACTACATTTTCTCCAATTTTAAAAAAAGATATGGGCAGCCTGTTCTAAGTTATAATAACAAATTTATAAATTGTTTTAGAAATTGTCATGACTTTTATTTAATTTGAGTAAAAACTAGTAGTATTTATTAAAAAAAAAAGTTACTGCTGTAAGAATTCTGAATAAATATCCTTATGAAAACTTTTAAAATCAAAATTAAAACATTTTTTTATAATGTGGCGATGAAATTTTAATTTAGTAATTCCAATATATGGACCACATATATACAAATTAAGCTATACCGCGAATCTTGTATTCGAAAGAACCTTAATTTGTATAGGTCTTTTAATCGTGAGCAACACATTTATCATGGCAAAGTAAAAATGCTTTGTGCTTCAAAAATTTCAAAAAGTTCGATCTGTGTTCCTGTGTTATAAGATTCTTTTACTCACTTGAACCACTGCATGATGTGCTCGGTGTGTCCGCCGTGGCGACATGTCTGGCACCAGGAGAACCACTTCGAGAAGGGCTTCGTCTGCCAGCCGGGCACCTCGGCGGCGGTCGCCGTGTTCGGTGGCTCGCCGTTGCTCATGTTCACCATGGTGCCCATGTGCATCAGGCAGAGCGAGCAGCGGGGCAGGGGCTTCCGGCAGCTGGGACAGGAGGAGAGTCGATTGGTGCTGGTGGTGGTGCTCCGTGGACGTGGCTCATCCAACAGGGCATTCGATACTGACTTGCCGCAAAAGTTGCAGGACAGGAAGACGGTGCGCGAACTGCGCGAAGAGGGGCGAATGCCCTCGATCTTGATGTCCAGCTCGGCACGCTTTTCCCACAGACCCCAGCTGTTCAGATGATCCAGGTAGCTGGCAATCCAGTACTGGATGCGCTTGTCCGCAAAGTGCTCTTGCCGGAAATAGTTTATGGCCACCAGGGCTACCGTCTTAAAGACAATAAATTTGAAAGTTAAGCATATATTCTCTATGTATTAATGGTGGTGTAAGTTTGTATAGAAATGTTAAGGTATTCCTTTCACCTACCAATAGTTTGCGATATTAAGTGCATCAAAACTTAAGATGGACCCGAAAAAATTTGTTTGAAAAATACGCATTGGCTTTAAAATTTATCATTCATACGTACTGTTGCCTTTAATAAACAAATTATTTTCATCAAGGTGGCGTAGACTAAATTTAATTTGTGGTTCTCAATAATTTCACTACTATCTAAGCAATGTCAATGCTTGAAATGGAAGTAATTTTCTTTTTACAAAATTCGAGCTGGCTTACGTGTCGAATGAGTAATTTTTATAAAAACCATTGCCTACAACTTAAAATAAAATTTTTTGGTTTTCCAATACATGTTCTGTTTTTTTTTTTTGACAACTCTAATGTACATATATTTTAAGTTTCTCTAGTAAAACCAACTCACCTGCACATCGAAGCTGGTGTCCATGTAGGACTGCAGTATGTTGATCCCGTCCAGCGACTCACCAGTGAGCAGCAAGCCATTCAGATCACCGCCATCTATGGCCGCTTGAATTTGCTGCGTCACATAATCGGCCAGCTTCGTCTCCGACAGATATTTGCAGGCGAAGGCCACGCGATCTGACAGTAAAACCCCCTCTTCCTTAAGAACTGCATCAAAATTATCCTTCTCCATGGTTAAAAAGGAGAAAACGGCCTTTAAATGTGGATCGTGTATCTGCATATTGGCGCTGGATCTCTGATTTCGCCACGTGGAACTGCAGCGATCGGCATTGAAGCTGGACAAGGCAATCACCGTGATCCGGTACATGCTGGGATCTCTCATGTTGTCCGCCGCCGAGGAAAGAATGTTGCAGGCGTGGAAGATCTTCAGGTGGAACACGCAGATCATGGCCGCCCGGCTGTACTCCTTGTTGGCATACAACTGGTCGATAAAGCGTTCCAGCTCCTGCTCGAAGGCCCAGCCACAGAGTTGAAGAGCCAGGTCACGTTGCTCGCTCCTTAAAAGGGATTTCAGATCAATAATAATATATATGCTAATTAATAATAATACATTTTATTGAATAATTGTAGTGAACTAAATAAAGAAAAAATGCCCTTTAAGTTAGCACACTAGGCAGTTCTTGATTTCTTGCGACTTGATTTTTAAAGGAGGTATTTTAAGATAGTTTAAGTATTTAGAATATTTCTAAAATATGCACCATAAAAATATATATAATTTGGACATGAATAATAAAGTAAGTTTGAAACTTACCTGTAGCATATCAACTTGTTAGAGTTATTGATGCCCTCTGGCCATTGGAGCACCTGAGATTCGATGCGAGAGCTGGCCATCAAGGCCTCTGAGGTGTGTCCCAAATTTATGCCCAAGGTGGCCTTCAGACCTGTCAAACGATCCTCGCAGTAGACATTGTTTAGGGTGGACCAGACATTTCGCAGATATGGGGTTAAATGGAGCTCAGCAAATCGTTTGTTATCCGGCCTAATGCCATAATCCTCCAGTGCCCTCTGACGTGTCTCATCCACCAGATCAAGTTCAAAGAGTTCCGGTTCTAGTAAGTCCACATTTAAGGGGGAACCACTGGGACTGCTGAAGTCCAGGGAACTCCCACTATTTGTGCTACAGCTGCTCGTGGGCTGCTGCTGCTGATGCTGCTGAGTGGGCGTGGCAGCTGTGGTGGAAGTTGGTGATGCGGGTGTGTAAAGTGGACGCTGCATCAGAAGTGGCAACTTTCGGCGATTACTGTGAGCCGTATGCAAAGTGGCAGGCAATCGAAAATCGAGGATATTCACTGCATCTGCCAGAATTAGAGCCCTCTCGAAATCTCTTGAATGCCACGACAGGCAATTGACGAAGGCAAACTTTCCACTGTGCTGATATCTAGCCGGAAAGGGACTAATCTGTCGTTTCACATGGTAAATCTCTCCGGAATTCTCATTATCCACACTCCGAATGTCATAGAGGGTGATGTAGGAAGAATCTCTTTGCAGGGAGGAGAGAAGGCTAGTCCTAGTGGGGCACCAGGCGATCTGCAGATGATTCTTTGAGGACTGGATCTGCCGGAGCGGACTCTTGATGTTCCGCGGGTCCCAGAGCGTGATCACAGAGTCCACATAGCTGCAAAGATAGTTTCCATTGGGCGACACCGAAAGTCCCTGCACTGTCTTCGTTTGAATGCTCTGGCAGGTGGCGTTACTTTCTGCATTAGAATTTATATGAGAGGGTTTAACTTAAGTTTATGTTTATGAAGCATAGAGCTAAAAGAAAAAATTAGATTATTAAACACATTTGTAACTGATTGGTGTTATCCAAAAGTGTTTTTAGATATCTATATTAACTCTTTAAACCGACTCACGTCTCAGATCGAATAGCTTGATCATCTTTTGGCTCATGCCCGCAATGACCGTGCGATGGTTGCGATCCCAGCAAATCGAATTGGCCGACTCGCCGACGCCAAAGAAGTTGGCCGTCTCCTTGGGAACACCTCGTTCGATGTCCCAGATGGTGATGCAGGTGTCGTTCCGATGGCGATCGTGTCCAATGGCCAGTATATTGGCATCCAGTTCGTTCCAAGCGAGGCAGGTGCACATGCGCTGCTGCCTGGGGGCTAGAAATAGAAATACACTTTAGTTAGGGTTAAGATTAAGGTGTAGATTACCACATACTGTACTCCCAGCTGCTGTCGTAGGTGTCCCGAAAATTGCATATACCGACTTTGCCATCGGCCAGACCCACTGCAATTATGGGCTGGTCACTGTGATAAGAGGCGGCCACGCAGCGGGCATATTGATAGCGCGATTCGTTGGCGAGGTAGTTCACGGATATGTAAGGCAGGCGACCTGGAAAAAGTCGATTTAATTAGGGTACATAAAATCTGATATACCTAAGGATTACTAACTTTTCTGGCTGTGATCATCCTTGCGGCGCACCTCGTACAAATGGATTTCCTGGCCCCACGACACGAATTTGTCGGGAAAATGCGGAAACCAGCTGAGTCCGTGTGTGTTGCCGCTCATCGTGGCCGCTTTTCCATCTATATGAAAAACTAATTTTCACTATAGACTTCAATTGCGTCGCGTTATCAGTTTGCAAAAACAAAAACGTGAGATAAACACTGCACTGCTAGAAGAAGAAGAAGCAACCGGTTGAACAGCTGTTTTTTTTCGGTTTCCCAACACGGCTACCTCTCGATAACAGCTGTTTTGGTATGTTACCCAACACTGGCCCATCTCGATAACCTGAGTAAGCCGATTTTGTTTTTTTATTTTAGAAAGCAAACGTGTTTAATAATTTGTAACTCCTATTTTTATAATGCTACCCAAAACACCGAAGCCCGCGCTGTGGAAATTCATCAAGGGAAGTGCCAAGACCTTGTTTGTACTGGAGGCAGTTTGTTTTGCGGCCAGCTACGGTGTATATTATCGCATGAACACAAATCGAGGTGCGAAGATATTTATATAAGTATTTGAATAAGTAAACAATAATCCTTTTTCAGAGTTCCGCCAGCACATCCACGAGAACTATCCCTTTGTACTGGATTATTACTATAAAATCGGTGAAATTGTAGGCGATTCGACAGTTCGACAGTCGGATGCGAGTTATTGGAGCGCCCTGAAGAAAAGCGATTAGAAACCCCATTCAAAGATGCTCAGTAATCCATATTTTAAGTCCCTATTATGGCTAATTGGCTTTGGTGGCATGGGCTATGGCTTAATGCTGCTAACCGAACCGAATGCCGATAAAATAGAACGCATAAAGGCCTCCGGTGCGAGTTCAAAAACACTAAGTGCAGATGACCAGAGGAAGGCACTGTTTATGAAAAAGCTGCAGGAGGCGGCCACCACAAGTAGTCCAGTCTACAGAACATCGGTGGACAAAAAGGATAGCTAAAGGCTTTTTCAATTACAATTTACCAATTTGTTATATCTTAAAATATAAATGTTAAGCATTTAAAACAAAGTCGAATTTTAATTACACACTGTTGAGCAGGGTGCCTTAGGGAGCCAAACTTTATAGGTTTTACAGGTAATATAATTATCTAAATATTTGTATCAGTACCTTTAGGAATTCAAAAACTTTCAGATGATTACATTACATTACACTTTTCCTGTATAAAACGCTTAACATTTTCTGTTAAGCTCTAACATTTTCTGTTAAGCTCTAACATTTTCTGTAAAGCTCTAACATTTTCTGTTAAGCTCTAACATTTTCTGTTAAGCTCTAACATTTTCTGTTAAGCATGTTGACCACCTACACTAACAGTGCTGTGTAACGCCGGATGACCAAGCAGATCTTAACTTAGCGCAATTGCATTTAAATTGTTTATTATTTGCCATAGGTGGTAGAGATAAAGGAAACAAAGACTTGCAGCATGTCCGCGGGGGATGTACCTTTGGTGGGCATGGCCAAAATGCCGCCGGCAATGCAGTTCGACCCGAAGAAGGACTTCCACACGCGCACCCATCAGCAGGAGTTGGATGAGGCTTTTCTGGGCAACGAGCGACGCCCTTGGGTTCACCAAAAGGCGCGCAAGGATACGCGACGCGAGCGGGAGATCCTCAATGAACTACTAAGCTCCACCACCGTGGAATCGGACTACGCCAGTAGTTGTGTGGACAAACTGATTGCCGAGGACATCAGCTACAGGGATTTGGCATCCCTAACCGACGAGGATTTGGAACTCTTTGGATTCAAGACTCCGCAACAACGCAAGCAGCTCCTGGAGATGTTCGACAAGATGCCCAATCAGGATCCCAGCTACGAGTACATCCGCAATCAACCGGAGGCCAAGGGCTATAACAATCAGATCCTGGGCAACGCCGGCAGTCACTTTATGTCCTTGCGCGCCTCCTTGGCGGTGACCAACTACAAGCTGCAGGTCTCCACGCCGGAGGATGTCGTCGTGGGCGATAAACGCTATGCCAGCTGCTTCGCCCTGGAAACCCTGAAGAGCGTTAAGCTAATCACGGATGAGATAGCCAAGGACCTCAGGAAAATCGAAGCCAATGCCCAGAGTATCAGGAAAAAGGAGGATATGGATATCCAGGCCAAGGAGAGCAACAAGAAGGTAAATATTACATTTGAAATATGAGTATTTTATAGAATATTATTATACTAAAATTATACCAGTTTTGGCTGGTCTGAATTCATATTAAGTTTAACATGTTAACAAACAAACTGGCAAAACTGTGTAATCTAATAATTTAATATTTCGCAATTTTTACTCTTACAGAAAAAATTCAGCCTGGCCTCCTTAGTGTACTTCACCACATTGGCGGTGGGATTCTCGTGTGCCTGGTTTTGGTGGTGGACTAAGTTCCACAGTGTTCCCCGACTGGAAAGGATTTCTGTCCAGACTTAAAACAAAACCATAACGATGCATTTAATAGCTGCATTCCCATTTTCTTATAGTATTTACGCACAAAGCTGTTAGAATTTACATATTTTTTGGTTAAGCTTTCACAAAATCTCAAACTGTATTGAAGTTTTACTGCCCAACAATTAAGAAAAAACATGAACTGTATTAACAATTTCTAAAATTGTTTATTTCTTATTGCTTTAAATTGATTTCTTCGGCGAGGAGAAGAAATCCCAAGTGGACATAGGAATCGACGTTCTGGGGAAACTCCCACAAAGTTGTGTACGCGATTAGCTGGCTTCTTTCAGTCGAGTGGGCAATGTTTTCTACAATTAAATAAATGTTTATAAGTGGTATAGGCAAATTTCACATAGAGAAATGAAAACTAATGTAAAAATAAACTTTGTCAGTGATTTGATTATGTTTTTCCAACAAAACTACTTAGAAATGTTAATGAAAAAGTTTTGAGAACATTATAATGTTTGAAATAATTGTTACATATTATGCATTATTACCTGCCACTTCCTTTTTGACCAACGACTCTTGTTCATATCTTTCGGCTAGTTCTTTGGTAAAAGCCACAAATTGTGGCAATTTCCAAGACCTGTAGAATATTGTATCCGCTGCAGTGCCTGGCAACTTACAGATAGCACTGAGTTGTCTAAGAAGTTCCTTTGCATTATTGGCTATATCCCCGAATATCGAGGCTATAATGGCCAACTTGTTGCAAGGCAGGATCAGATCATCCGGGTATGAGGTGCTTCCTTCGTCCTGCGACTTCTCCAGGCACTTGGTCTTCTTGGCCTCGATGGAATAGCAAATGGAAGTGCCTCGCTGCTGGGCTAATTGCCATTTGGCGTAATTGTCCTGAAGTTGCTTAACTATAGTCTCCAACCTTGTTTTGCAGGTTGCCAAATTTGAATCATGACTTGTAGGCGATAGCAGGCGGGGGCTGTCCAGATCTGCTCACAATATATATAATTAATGATTACCACATATATTTCAAGATAACTTACAACGAATTGGTGTCAGCGAGTCATTTAAATTGGCTTCATTTACTTTTTGCGGCGTTTTATTTGCTTTGGTCATTTTGTAAACAACGTGAAATGTTGTTTACTTCAGTCAGTGTGTGCACACCTTCTTTGCAGATAAATGTTAGCATCTGTTAACTTAATTTAAACATTGTGCAGCACTTAATATCGTATCTGGACTATGATTTGTTCAATTTTATAAATATTTTATTATAAAGTAAACGAAAAAAAATTGTTGTTTTATTAAATATTTTTTAGCAAATAAAATTCTAGATTAAAATATAAACTATCGATACATTCGCACAGCAACTATCGATATGTGCAAGCCTGACCAATGTGTACACTCCCGATTTGGGAATAAATTAAGCTCGATGAAAAAGTGCCGGTAATTGTCTAGACAAACCCCACTCAATCATTTCCCTTTGAATTTACATTCAGAACGCAACTAAAAAATAATTTCACAAAAATGTCAACCTGGACACCACTTGAATCCAATCCAGAGGTGAGTAAGAAAACCATTTAAAGCCGTATTCCAAGAGTTGCAGTTTTGCCAAAGTTTTGTTGTTGCAATTTGCGAAAATGTGGGCTTCCTTTGAAAGTAAAGGGATAGGACGCCATTAACTTTTACCCATTCCCAGGTGCTGACCAAGTATATACATAAATTGGGCGTGTCGCCAGCCTGGTCGGTTAATGACGTCATCGGATTGGATGAAGACACCTTGGAATGGATTCCGCGTCCCGTGAAGGCATTTATTTTGCTCTTCCCTTGCAGTGAATCAGTTGGTTTTTTCCCCTTTGTCTTAAATGCTCCCCTTACTAACTGGGTTCCGTTTTCAGTATGAAAAACATCGTGCCGAGGAACACGAGCGCATCAAGGAGGTGAAAGATGATTACCCAGCCGATCTATTCTATATGCGTCAATTTACCTCCAACGCCTGCGGCACCGTGGCCTTGATCCATAGCGTTGCCAACAACAAAGAGTATGTTACAACTTAAAAAAACAAAATATTTTTAGAACCTAAGGCTTTATAGGATACAAATCTATACCTCATTATAACCATTAACTTGCTCGTTTAAAATATGTCCTGAATTTGAAAGTCAATATTTCTAAAATTTAAAAATGATTGATATTTAGAATCACAGTGTTTCTTTGGTGTGAAAAAAACTAACGAGATCTAAAGGATATATCAGTTCGGGGTTCTATGCAATAAATTATCGTTATAAAATATATTATATTATAACAAAATAATTTTACTGCACATGACGGTTAAGTGGTATTTAATGTTTATATTACTTATCAAATGATTTGTTTATTTTTCCAGAGTTGAGATCGACAATGGAGTACTAAAGGCCTTCCTGGAGAAGACTGCCTCGCTGTCGCCGGAGGAACGTGGGCAGGCTTTGGAGACCGACAAGGATTTCACCGCCGATCATCAGGCTCTGGCTCAAGAGGGTCAGACCAATGCTGCTGAGCATGAGACGGTGATCCATCACTTTATCGCCCTGGTCAACAAGGAGGGCACTCTCTACGAGCTGGATGGTCGCAAATCCTTCCCGATTAAGCATGGACCAACATCCGAGGAGACTTTCGTGAAGGATGCCGCCAAGGTCTGCAAGGAGTTCATGGCCCGTGATCCCAACGAGGTGCGCTTTACGGTTCTGGCTCTTACCCCTGCTCAGGATTAGGCTGGATCTAATCCTATTAAATTAAATATACCACCAAGATCTCTGATCAGCCAGAATATACATTTATAAACCTACGAACATTTTTAATCTGGCTGAAAAGGCGTACGAAGCCCCGCCTTTTTAGTTAGTCAACAGTTTACGCATATTTATTTTGCCTTGAGCCAAAGCCACAAATGTATTGGGAACACTAAGTTTGTTATTAAAGAGTGCATTCGAGCTTGATGCTAAGCTTATACTGAATACTAAATGTTTTGATAGTTTATGGGTACAAAATTGTTAAAATTTGTGTTAGAAACTTTTAATAACATCATTTCCCTTATTAATAAAATAAAAATAGTTTAAAATTCAATACAAATTTTAATTTAATTTGATTTTCTTAATTGGAATATTAAAATAAATACTAATGAAGGCAATTTAAGTAGTAAAAACAACGTTCAATACAAATTTGTATGATACATGTTAAAATATTCAAATTTGTACTATTATCTGGGCACTTTTAATTGCTCCCCCTTTGACCAGCACCCCTGTGGCAACAGCTGATTACGATGTGGCCTCCAGTGCGCATGCCTTGACATTTGGACATTCTCCACGTAGACGCTTGACAGCTGCCTCCTCCTCCTCTTACCAGAATAAACCAGGTTTTTTCTTCAGTTCCCCTTGAAGCGGACCATTTGCCAGGTTTATTCAGCGCTGGAAAGGAGTATAACGAAGCTATCCAGACCAGCAGGAACCCTCCAAGTGTGCCGCCCATCGAGTTGATGCCGAGGAGCAGCCGTGGAGTAGTCTTGGGGCAGCAGGTTAGAGCCGGACTTTCTGGCCAGGATGAGGCTGCTCAAGGAACTGATGCGTGCGGCCACCCAACATCGTGCCATCTACTGCTACATGCTGCTCAGCATCTGGATATTCCTTCTCATAGCAGGTTAGTTAAAGGACTTTACATTATAAATTATTTAAACACCTTCCCTTGCAGAAGGTTGTATAATTTCAGTAATATATTATGTTTAATTAATTATTAATAAATTAAATTCCTAATTAAAAGTCTTTCTGTTAGCAAAATAAATTTAACAACTTTGCTCCCTTGAATATTGCCAAAATATCTCATAAAATGTAATTTTTTATTTCAGGAATGTATCGCTATGTGGGCAATGTTGAGTCGAATCCAGGAGGTGGCTCAGCTTTTGGACCCAGCTCCTCTGGCACCGTCAGTTCCTTGGGCGGCGAATCCTCGGCCTCGTCCACTGCCCATCGATTTGCCAAGTACAGAGAACGCTGTGCTCCGCTGTCGCAGCTCCAGCGTTTGGACGATGGCGGCATCTTGGAGGGTTGGAAGCTTCAGGGAGTGCTCCTGGTCATCAGGCACGGGGATCGAGGACCCATTTCGCATGTCCGCAGTGCTGGCATTAACTGCGGCGTGAGTAGTGGCACAGATAACCTGGTCAACAGGTGAGTAGACCAATCTCCTGAAAACAGTCATCAATAATTACAAAAAATTGTGACTTACTGATAAACATAATAAATCAAAAATAATCACCAAATATAATCGTAGCAGATTTTAAAACATTTTACAAACAGCAACCAAATACTATATTTCAATTGATTTTGCGTCTCTTATAAATAGTTCGTTTTTTAGTTTGAAAAAAAAGAATATTGATCATCATAGTAAATTTAAATATTTAGCACTCAATTTAAATATATTCCCCTTTGATTTTTATTTGTAGCGGTTTTTAGTTATTTTAATTATGGAAATAATACAATTAAGTTTAAATTTTCATATGACTATTTTTTGAGTTGGTTTTAATATATGGAAATTCAATGTTACGCATTTAATAAAAAAAACAATCATTTGAAATTCAATACTTTCCACATTAATCTAAATATTTTTAAATTAATTCAGATTGAATATTACGATTTTTTTTTCTGTATTTTCTGTCCCTGGCAATTATTAACTGATTGGATTTTCTTAAGATATCGCAGCTTTTTGTACAACTCAAGTAGCTCGGCTTCGGGATCGAACCACATGTACTGGAATAAAGTGGGACCTTTTCATGGATTTCCCCTGCTGCCAGCCACAGAGCGTGGTTGTCCACTGGGTCAGCTGACCTACAAGTGAGTGAACCTTACTTGTACTGAATTAATTTAATTAATTATTTATTTTCATCTATTTAGAGGCATTTCGCAGCTTCTTCATGTGGGTGACATCATGCATCAGGTTTATGCCCATCCTCTGGGCCTCCTGTTAAAACCGAATCCCAATCGTGGTTCAGTGGAAACAACGCCTCATACTCTGCTGAATTCGGATGAAGTGGTTGTGTTCACCACTCGCTATCGTCGCACATTTCAGTCCGCTTTGGCCATGTTGTTCACCCTGCTTCCGGCGGATAAATGGTTGGCCTTGAATGTCCGGGAATCCCACAGCATGGCCTTCTGTTTCGGGGAGTGTAGTTGTCCTCAGTCGGCGCTGCTCAGGAAAAGATTAGAGGCCTTGGGCGATAGACAGCTCCTGAAACGAGACAAGGTAATGGACGTGATGCAATGGATCGGAGGAACCATACTACAACACACCCCGAATGGCATTAGTAATCCCTTCGAGGTGGTGGATGCCCTGCTGACTGTTCTCTGCCATGATGCTGCTCTGCCATGTCGTAAGAAAAAGCCACTTCCCACGCCAAAGCCATTGAAAAAGAGTCCCAATCAGGAGCTGGTGGATGTGATCAATATAGATCAGGATGAAACGGTGGCCAATCCATTGCAGGTGATTACATTTTTGAACTTATATTGAAAAGGTAACTCCCAGTTTGCAAGTCCAAGGATGGGCTGTTTACGGTACTTTTTTTTTAGATCACTGATGATATTTATATTATCAAAAGGAACATTTGTATTAAAAAATATGAAATATGTAAAATGGGATGTAATTAGCACACTGGACAGTCGTTGATTTATATTTTTCAATGCTCATATCTTTGCCAATTGTGTTCGGATCGACTTGAAATTTTAGGGACACATTGTTTAATATATATACTTTAAAAATATAAAATTTCATATTTTTAGGAAGGACAACATCAGCTGGAACCGGATTCCCCTGAGGTGGAAAATGGAAATCCTTCGGTTCAGGCAGACGAATCTCAGGATGGCTGCGTAGAGCCTGCCCATGTGGACACCCTGATGTCCTTTGCAGATGAGCTATCTCAACGCTCGGCTGGCCACTCGTACTATAAGCTATCCGGATTGCTGCGATCCTATGGAATGATCCGTCACATAGTCAGCTACATGCTTAAGATGATCTCCGGCGATAGGACAAAGTTTGTACTTTATTCTGGACATGATTGCACCATGCAGTATCTGACAGCTGCCTTGGGAATCATCACGAGTCAAGGTCAGACTATAGCCTATGCCTCC